AAAAGAGGAGAGAATTTTCCTCTTGACACCTGGCAAAGTTCGTTCTCGTTTACTGGTTAAGTGATTTTCTAAAAGCTTTATCGCAGTCCCTATTGTCCGCTCCAAGCAGGCACGTAAGGATCCTTCGATGCTGTAAAGTAATTCATAGGAATGGAACGATGCAAAGGAAGAGGACGACGAAAAGCAGCATCGAATCGTTTCGGATGTTGTTTGCTTGCGTGTACAGCACACATCACGTCTTCCACAGACGCGTGGCATGCACGCAAGCAAGAGGAGGGAAGCTTGTTGTAAAATGATGCCGAGTCCGCGATTTTCCGTTACCGTTCTTCTTCTTCAACAAGAGAATCATTGTCTGTTGTCGTATGACCATTATTTGATCTCCATCTTTTTTTCTTCCAACAACAACAGGTTGTTGTTTGTTTGTTGTGCGTCGTCGTCGTATCGGTCGTGTTGGCATTCATAATAGTGTTGTAATTCTGCGTCCACGAGGAGAGCGACGAGAGAGACGCGGTCGATCGACACGATCGATCCATTTCGTCTTCTGCCGACAAGTCGTCGCTGGAATCGACGCGCGGTAGTTTGACGACTCGCCCCGAGCAAGAACGAAGCCATCCATTCAACGGTCTGGTCTTGTTGTTGCTCCAACGGAATAAGTCGTAGCCCGTCTTTGATGGGAAAGGTCGGTGGTCCGTAATGACCAAATCCGGCATGGTTGCCACCCTGAATGACCTTGTAGAGAGTATTGTCGGGTACCATTTTGGTTTTGAATTGTCGCTCCTTGGCGGGTGTCAGGAATTGATTCATGAGATTGTCATTGGAGGCGGAAATGGAAAGCACCTTGACGTTGGTGTCACGCAACGTGCCATTCTTTTCAGTGGGAGTTCCTGCGGCCAATAGAATGAGCTTGGGCAGATTGAGATCCTTGACGAGATTAAAGGCGGCCGATCCTCCGGCGGAATGACCACCAATCGCCCACTCGGTGACGGAAAAGGCATCGCCGTGAGCCGCGGCGACGTGATAGAAAATGGGCAATATATCCTGCGGTCGGGCTCCGTGGTTGCGCGTCCCGAATCGGAGTGGTTCCAACGACACGACGGCCACCATAATGCCCGAATCGGCCAATTTGGCGGCGAGAGGCGCATATGCCGTGTGCTGTACCAATGCACCCGGCAAGAAAATAAAGCCGGGTACTTTTTGTGGATTGCCGTCGCTATCGTCGTCTGGTGTGGGTGGTAGGTAGATATCGAATTTGGGTTGATGATCGACGCGTTTGGCTTGCATGCGTTGCAGTAGCTGCAATTTGGCCGATGGCATGGCGCCTTGTCGATTTTGAATGAATCGTTTGGAGAGCCAAATGGAGAGATAGTAGAGTCCAGCCGCAGGAAGAATCACCAACAAGACAATGGCGACAGCAAACCATTTCATGTACGCAAAATGATCCTCCTCCTTTTGAGCCGACAGAACCACCAACACCACAAAGATGACGGTGAGACCAAAGAAGACGGTGGATGCCAAATGCCTCCAATTTCCAGAGGGTTCCAGCCCCATGAGCTCCAGGACGATACTGAGCACAGTGGGTTGAATGTCCTGCCACGTGAGAGCGCCCGGTCGATTTTGTTTCGAGAGAACCGACAGAGAGCGTTTGACCTTTTTGCGCTTCTTCTCCTGAGATTCCTGGTAGGAGTGTCGTGCATTTTTGTACTCTTGAAATTGATTCTTGAGGGCACGGGAGGATCGCGGTGCAATGTAGGAATCAATGGTGGCGACGCTCTTGTCGTCGTCATCATCGTCGTCCGAGCGACAGCCGCTCGAGGAAGACGAAGACGATGTCTGCGGATTGCCGCTTCGGTGATTGCTGCCGCTGTGCGTGCTACTATTGTTTGGGTTGTCGCTGTTGCTTGGATGATTGGACGGAGTCATGTTGACCAGGAGCGTGTTGATGGCCTGCAGATCCATTTCCAGAGACGTAGTGCGCTGGGCGGGTTCTGGTTGCAGGATGTGCGTAGCAGTGCTGTGAGGACTGTGTGTCTTTTTCTTTGCCTTATTGTTAAGGATTGGCTGCGTATATTCGTGTCGTTGGGCCTTTTGATGGAGCCATTGTCGGTACTCTGCGGCAGCCGCGCCTTCATAGCGCTTCTGCAGTTTGCCATTGGTGTGAACGGTGCCTTCTTTGGCCACCAAATCACGCTTTTCAAAAAACTCTTGCAGTGTCGCATTGCCACCTGCCTTCATCAGAGCCACATAGTTGTTCTTCTCGTTCCAGCTCGTGTCCAAATCCACCGATTGCACAAAGGACAAGTGCACGCCCAAACCACGATGAGGGCCACTGCACTGCAGACAAATCAGAATCCCATAGGTCACGGACGCCCAATTTGGATTGGCTTCGCCACATTCAAAACAGAATTCATTGCCGGGTAGATTCAAGATCCATTGCTTGTCGTCACGGTTCATTGCGGAGATATTACTTCATACAGAAGAGAGAATGAAGGAGAGAGAGAGAGAGACGATTCTGTTGAGCTTATTGTTGGCTCGATCTGGCCGATCTAGGCACAGTCGGCGTCTGTGCTGGTTGTGACGATGGCTTTGATGGCTCGCCAACCTCTTTCAAAAAGCTTTTGTGCATCTGAAGTGTCATCGTCAAGATTCGATTCGATTCGATTCGATTCAATTGATCCACCCATCAAACCCAGCGGAAGGCATTGGAGAATTAAGGGACCAACTCAGCCAGCGAAACTGGTGGCCACCACTTGACTCAGTTTGTCAATTTCGGACATCATCATTGCTCGAGCGTCACCCTTGACGGGCAAATCCAAGCTCCACTTGGTGCGTGCTTCCTGGGGCCGCCGTGGTGCCGGTCGATACGCATGAACTTACACTGTACTTTACCTCGTTGATCGCTGTCTGAACAAGGCAGGACGCATCAAGCAAGCGGAAGAAGAGGGTAAAGTAGTCAGAGCGAGGGCTAGAACAGCGGGCCAATCAGCCATCAACGCCGGGAGCTACAAGAACCATGCATGCCTATTTTTGAACATGGTTTGAGGCGTACGCCTCTGAAACTATTAGGTACGAGGCGGGGATACCTGCGAAAGAAACCTATTGGCTTCTCACTCCTTGTTTGCTTTCTTATATTAGTAAAGATTGCTAGCAAAAACGACCTGGCTTGGCCTCGTTGTAGCCTCTCACTCATACGGCATGTAATCCAAAGTAAGCAACGGCCATACGTTCAGGAAGTATCACATCAAGAAAGCTCGCGTTCGTGGGGGGGGACCGTACAAATTTCTACTCGGCACCAGCCTCCAGTAGCGCATCCAATGCTTTAAATCGTCATAGTAATGATCGAGTTGTGCAGGATTCTTTCAACAACTTTCACTCCGCCAATCTGTCTTCTCCTTTCCCCAGAGATTGCTTGAGACGAAGAACTCCCTTCCCTTCCATGTCCTTCTTGGTCCGATGCTTGATTTTCCTGTTATTATTATTCTCTCAGCCTGTGTTTGGTGCACAGGAACAGGCCATCGTTTGTCTGGCAGCCACAGGATCCAAACCACAATGTCTGCAGGTTGGTTTGCCCCGATGTCATGGTGGTGCTGGTTGAAAATCATCTGGATGTAGCTGCTTTTCATACTCTTCCCTGTGTTCAAGGCAAAATTTTGATCCATCGGGACCTTTTCCAGAATGGGGAATCCAGCAGTCAGGCTTCTGGCAGCACTTCTTGGGTTTTCTCTTCCGCTTCTTCACGGGTTGTTGTAGGGTAGGAGCGTTTCCATCATCCGCATTGACATCGCCTAGGTTCATGGGTAACGTTGGCTGGACATCTGGTCGTAGCTGCTTTTTATACTCTTCTCTGTGCTCAAGACAATAGCGAGACCCATCCGGACCCTTCCCAGAATGTGGTATCCAGCAGTCAGGCTTCTCGCAGTATCTGATGGGCTTCCTCTTCTTCTTCTTCTCTGGTTGTTTTTGTTGTTTTTTACTTGAATTTCGTTGTCTTTTTTGGCCTGATTGGGTACCCGTAGGAGAAATTCCATCATCAGTTCCCGCACAGAGATCCCTTTCGGGGGGGATCATCTGCTGTTGCGAGCCCTGCTTTTTCTGAGAGCCATGCTGCTTCGGAGAGCCCTGTTGCTTTGGAGATCCATGTTCAGCATCCCCTGGGTTCATGGTTAATGTCTACGCGGTAGAAGCCTTTGGTTGGTATTCTCAGTGGTGCTACCTGCGGTGGTGCTAATGTCGCGGCAGCGTCTTTTGTTGTTGTTGAACTGCGAGTGCTTCACTGGGTTTTGGCGTCGTGCGTCGTGGAGAGCGTTGTGGAGAGCGTTGTGATCTTCCAGTCATCATCGTCCGAGACCGAGACATTGCTTTGGTGTCGGTGCAGCACTGCAGGTTTAAAGCGCTGGACCACAAAAGCTCACCCAAATCGTCTTCTTTGAGGCTTCAGACTTCGGTGATTGTCAGGAGTCAGGAGTACTGTATGGGATGTGCCTCGATCCTTGCCTTGGCTGTGTAAACTTATTTGTTGGAAATGCTGACTTCTCCGAGTGCGGAACCGTCAGGTAGGGCTCTCGTGAGTGTCAAAAGGCCCAGTGCAAAATGAAACACCGTAATGTGCAACCAACCAGCAGAGAATGTATGCGTGGTCCCTGCTACTGGGGTCTTGCAACGGCTTCATGACTGCAAGATCGCATTTGCAGGCGAGGATCTCGTATCGTAGACTTTCTCCGACGACAGAGCGACCCAAGCGTTGCTGTCACCTGGTTTGACTCATGTGCGCGGCATGCATGGATCTTACATGTACTACTCCAAGGGCTCCGAGGCTTGTTTTGCTTCTGGCGGAATCTATGATTACGACCGTCTTGCTGCGCTGGAGCTACATGTTCGATCAGCCCGTGCTCTCGTAGTCGGGGGCTTGGATTCGGACGTTCAAGTCCTGGACCACGTGGATGATGAAAGTATGGCTCCTCGCTAGCTCTAGATGCTGTCGGTTCTTTGCTATTCTGCTGACAGTAAAGGCCAGAGCCCAGACTTGTTGCATTTGATTGCTGTGCGAATTCACTGTAGGCCTGGAGAGTTAGTTTGGAGTTGGCTTGTTGCCTTTGACTTTCTTTCCGCTGTACGACATGGTGACGGTGTATCCTATTTGTTGCCGATCTACACTTGGCAATGAAAACACCAACGCAAGGAATCGAGTGAGCATGGTGTGCGCGTTGGGATGCCTACGGAAGCTGCCTGCACCAGCGGCACCGAGCTGTATGATTTTGCTTTCGCAGTACGAACGAAACTCCAGACAAAACTTGCACAACTAACTGTGGCTCTGTGATTCTTTGCTGAACGAACGGATGTCGTAGGAGTATCTGCAAACTAACTAAAATTAACTAAGTATGGTATCGATATAGTATTGATGACATGGCTAGTGTTGACAAAGAATCCGCAGGGATTCTTGCTTCTCTTCTAAAACGTAATGGTGGAGGTTCTCGATCGTTGCATTGCGTTGGTTGCTTCGCGGTCAACATCGACACGCACTCTCGAAAGTGGTAGGATCCACAATCTACTTGCATGCTCACTCACTTGGCTTGCGGTTTGCTGCCAATGCCATTGGCCCGGACCGACGATGCAACCAGCGGCCCCGTATTCTGTACGGGACGCACCTTTTTGGGTGGTTTGTTTTGAACGATTCGCTTGGTGCGTCGATTTCTTTGTTGTTGTGGGGCATCTGTAGTTGTGGTGGTTGCCTCCTCCTGTTTGGAGGATTTCTTGGAGTTGTCTTTCTTGACAACCCACGGGAGAGCGGTATCTTTGGCGGATAGTTTGGAAAAGGAAAATCGTTGTCCTTGCAGACTGCTTTGAATGGCATGCTGTCGTTTCTTGAATTTGGCACGGGTCTGTTGAAATTCTTGCGATGTGGCAACGGGTTTCATCATTTGCTGAAAACTCGCGAGCAGTTGCGAATAGCCACCCCCCGATTGAATGAATCCATCCGATAAACTCGCGTACAGGACATCACTGTCGGGCGGTTGTCCCAATCGTTGTGTGACGGTTGCTTTGGGGAATGCCTTTTGAAAGTAATGATGGAGGGCATTCGTGTAGAGACAACTGCGATCGGCCGTTTGAAAATCCGCGGGCAAATCTTGTCCCTTGTGGGCGGCTCCCATAATGACAATGTGTGTAAACTCATGGTTGTTGTTGTTGTTCTTGTTGTTGTCTTGTGCCAGTTGTTGAATTTGTTGGGTAAAGTAGGAGAGTGGTTTGACGTAGGCATTCCATGCTTGACGGTACGGCAAATGTTTGGGTTTGACCCAGGGATCATCACAGCAAGATCCCTGTTTGTTATCCTTGCGTCGAAAGTAGTATTGTTGTTCCTCGAGTAATTCCTGGACGTTTTCGACGGCGGAATCAATGACATCTCCCAATCGCAAATGGACGACCAGCGTTTTGGGCGGCGGCAGATCGATATTGAGATCGAATCGCAAATTGTCGTCGGCCATGGCTTCGACGGTTTGTTTCATGACGCCATATAAGACTTGATACTTTTTCTTGCCCTTTTTCTTTCCCGTTTTCTTAATATGCTCCATGTTGGCTTCGTAATGAGCTTCCATGAGACTGCCAGACTTTTTGGGTTGTTTGTGATAATTCTCGCCGGCCCAAACGCCGCGTCCAAAGAACATGTCGCCAAAATTGTAGCGTTCCCATTCTTCACTGAGAAAGTATTTCTGTACTTCCGGGGCCGTACACATCGTCTGACTCGCCGAGACCAAATCGACGAGTAACGTAATGGCGTGGTGGTTCCAGACACATGTCTTCAAGTCGAATGGATTCTTTTGTTTCTTGGCGAGGTCGCGTTGATCGCCTTCCGGGAGATCGTCCGGTTTGGTACAAAAGAAGCGACCGCAGCGACAGGATTTCCAAGGTCCCAAAAAGTCTTCTTTGGAATTGGTATCCAATGCCGTGTCTTGATCAAATCCGAGGTCAATGGCAAACAACTCTTTGCAAGTCGATGTGCAGACACCCCACGATGTCGTGTCAATGGTAGGAGCGGGTTTGGGTGCTTCTGGTAGTTCTTCTTTTGGTTGTTGTTTTGGTAGTTCTTCTTCTTGTTTATCTTCTTGTTTAGATTGTTGTTGTGACTTTTTCGATTGTTGCTGCTTCTTTTTTGGTTTGGCTCGGAGCGTCGTCGTCGTCGTCGTCACGGGAGGCACACTGGTATCGACACTGACTTCATCGTCGTCATCTTCGTCTTCGTCGAAATTCGTACTCACCACTTCCAAGTAGCGTGGTATAGCTGGTTGTTGTACTGGTTGTGCTGATTGTGCTTTGTTATTCTTGTCGCCTTGCAGTGTTCGATCGGGCAGAAAGGACGTCAATTGATTGCTCGACACGGAAAACGTCTGGAAAAACACAAACAACAAAGTCCCTGGGACCAACAGTTTCGCTACACCTGGCATCGTACTAGCTAGTAGTTACTTCAAAGGTTTGGAAGGATAGATTTTTGTAGAGGAGAGGAATTGAATTGAATACGAAATGAAAGGCGTCGATGATGGATGCAAGGCATGGTGGAGCATTGCAGGAAGGGCAAAGACGATCGAAAGCCGAAACTGCTCGTGACTTGGTAGATTCATGGTCACAGAGTCATCTTGCACTGGTTGTACTTAGGGTACCAGTCACTCATTACCATTCCAGTGAAGTGGGCTTTGGTAAAAGACTGCTCAACAGAAAAAGCTAAAACTAATAAGCTCACAAAGTCTGGCGCAACAGTGACAGCGGAACTTATTAATTGCGTCCAAGCCAAAGTTTGGCTGCCGGCGCTGCTGCACGAATGCTTGGTTTCTCGGTAGCTGCTGTGCAATGAGACTATTAATACATGCTGCCGAGAATGCTTGCTTGCAATGGTACACATGCAAGCCCTCGCAGCCAGTTGGCTCAAGGTTCCTCCTGTCAAGGACTCCAAGCTTTGCGGGATCATTGCTTCTGAGCAACCTGTCGACTTGCTTATTGGAACGAAACCCAAAGCATCTTCCACAAGCAACATTGCTATAACTATCTAGCTCTTGAACAGACGGCCAGCTTCATACACTGACGTACCGTATTCGATCGAGCAGACAATGCACACCGGCAAACGGTGCAAGGGAAGTGCGCACGATCAAAGAAAGGAAGCTTCGAATCATCCCTATATATCTCGTACCGGTACAGTATGGAGGCAGCAATGCAAATACAGAGCTAGCTAGCAACAGGCATGTACATTATTCTTCAGCGGAATGAATTGAACTGAATCGAATCGAATCGGTCCACGAAAGAACGTAAAAGGCGGAATCAGCGCCAACAGACACTGGCTGGAACTGAACCTTTATCGTTTGAAAGTGTGACAATACCGGTAGCTAGCTGGGGCTTTCTGAGATAATATGTACGCACTTGCTTGGAAAGAAAAAAATCATCTATCTGTTAGGTAGCTCTCGGGCGGTTGGCTACCTGGTTTCATACACAGATAGATACCACGTACGGTAGATGATAGATACGTTTGCATGGAAATATTGTTGCACTCTGGAAACGATGCAAGAGAACTACCTGTGCAAGAGCGTCCTTGGCGTCTCCTCTCGTTTGGTTGGAGCAGCACATAGAGCTAGTAGAAGCGTGTAAATCTGGGGAACGTTCGATCAGGGCCACGAAAGAACTTGAGAGGCAGAGCTATCGATGTTCACGATGTACCGTACGAGCCGACCCCTTTTGCTTTCTCCCGTGTAAACGTAGCTAGCTCAACTAGACTACGGTCATTGATTGGCGAGCATTTCAAAGGAGCAACCCGGCTGCAATGAAAACATACTCCTACTGTAGAGCTTAGCTGCTTCGACGAAACAAAGGTTGCAGGGACAAGGGGAGTCTCCAGTCGCATCGAATCGTCCGCGACTGCCTACCTAATGACGGTTGGATGGGCTTGGTTGCGTTCTTACAAACGCAACTCAGCTACCCATGGATAGATTGATATGCGCTGCTCTTTCAGCTTGTGTGTACCGTACGTTACCTCTGGGAACAGATCCACGGATATCGGCGTCGAGTCATCAAATATCAACCAAGTACGTGGGCGCAGCATTCTACAACCATGCACCTGCTGCTCTGAGGCTGGAATGGCAAAAGAAGCACTCACGGTACGCAACTCGAATCTACAGGCATTTGAAAGCCGTCTAGAGTGCAGCCAGTCCCAGCGGAACCGTCCCTTTCAAAGCACATTGCTGTTTGATACACGCGTGAATCCATGGCGGATAGTTGCGTCCTTTGACACTCCAGAAAGCTGTGCATTCCCCCCTGCAAAGCACCCAAAGCAACACGATCAAGTCCCCCGACAGTCCTAGCATCAAACATCTCCAAGAGGATCTTCCTAGGCTCCAGCAGAGCTTCCCAGAGCAAAGAAGCGTAGCCAAGAAGTTGAAAGGGTCGAGACGGAGGTGCCCCCATTTTCTTACCAGTACCGTTTCTAAATCCTTAAGCTTTAAGTGATTGATTTCGAAAGATTTAGGGGACTGCGGACAACACGCAACACACCTCACCAGACCCCTGTTGACACCGAAGAAGAGCAACAAACTCCACGCCAACACCATTCCAGCGTCAACACAGCCTCCCAACACTCGACGAAGACAGTGTCCTGTCATGCCAAGCCATTGGGAGGCCGTAGTGCGGTGAAATCATAGGTCGGTTACGGTCCATCATCGAGATGACGAGAATCGAAGGCTTTCAATCCCGGTTTTCACCATGGTCGTTTCTCATCACTGATGATCTCGGACAGCAGAGGACATGACGAAAAATGGGACAACCTCATTCTGAGCTCACAAATTTGTTTTCTAGAATACTGGAAGACAATACACTCTCGATTAGACGTACGCCGAATCCCTTTCTCTCGCTACACTCTGAACGCTACAACACTACTTACTACTACCAAATCTTCAGGAATCCCAAAAGCTCTTCTTTAAGTTTCCACCTCAAACATAAATTGACCATGACCGAGGCAATGAAGAACGGACAGTCGACGCCATCTGTGCCAACAACAATGACAATGTCCAACTTAGATACTATTACTGATAACATGATGACAACGCCCATAGAAAACGCGGCCAACAACAACATCAACAACTCGAACGGTGCCATCATCGTTCTTCCTGCCGTCTTTGTGGCTACCATCCTGACGTTGATCTTGGTGAAGAAACGACGAATCACGAAAGGCAAGCCCATTGACCATGTCTTCCTCGGATCCTGTCTTCGTCGTTGCGCCCAAGAAAAATTCCAACTTGCCGGCCACTATAACGCCAGCTATTTCAACAATCACAGCACGACGCCCATCACTCCTTCTCCAGAGGCGAACCAAAAGTGGGGTCGTCACTACCGCAAAGCCTACATGGCTCGCCAGAAGCGTATCACGCTGGATCGCGAGTACACCCATGTCGTTTTCGGCACCTTCAGTGACGAGGTTTTCGAGAAGCAGCAAGTCATCCTAGCCATCAAGGCCAATGTTGAAGCGGCGCAATTTGATTCCTGGCAAGAGCGGCGCAAGGCTGGATTGAGCGTCACTGCCTACAACCGAATCAAGGAGGAAAGTGAAGAAGAAGCTTCCGACTACAAGATGCACTACACACAAAAAGCTTGCTGCATCTCCACCCTTGCTGTCCCCAATGTGGCGGACCTTCTGGTGGAGTATGGAGAAGAGCTTGTGTGCCAGTGGGTGCACGGCGACAAGGACTTGATTGAAGACGCCAAGTTCCACAACAACATGGTTGCAGTGAAGGATGATGTGGTGGGACTAGTCAAGGCGATGACGGCGCATGGTGAAGGGCCTGTCGCTTTCTGGTTTGCCGCCAATTACCATGATGTGGACAGGGCCGCATTCAAGCAAGCCAAGTTGCATCTGCAGTGTGGATTGGTGCAACGAAACGACTATGATGAAGTCTGCAAGTTGGATTCGGACGAAAAGATTGCCAACCGACGCTTTGTCAAGGCACGCCGCAAGCCTGTTGTAGAGAAGAAGCGTGTGCTGGTCCACCAAGAACCAATCGTTGTCGAGACTGTTGAAGAGGAAGACGACGTCGAAGTTCAAGTCGAGAAGATGGCATCATGCGACGATGGCTATGGCCCTGGTGCGATTGTAGTCTACACACCACAACTCGAGACCATTGCAGAGGAAAACGATCAAGAGCAGGTGGCTACGATCCAACAACAAGCTGTGGTGATTGAGAACTTGCCGGAAGACATGCCCCACTCACTCAAATGCTGGACCGGTGACAACGCATGCTACAATAGCTGCTGGGATGTAGTTTCTGACATGACATGGGAGTCACTGGAAGACGAGTCACTGGAAGATGTCAACGAAGACAATGTTGTGGAGGATAACGTTGTGGAGGATTGCGATGAGTTTTCCCTGACTGCCGAAGAAATTGCGTTCATTGAACGATACGAAGCCAAGCTCCAACAACAACAACACGAGCCAGTTGTGGAGGACAATGTTGTGGAGGACAATGACGATACTGTGCAGTCGATTGATGATTTCGATTTGGAGGACGACCTTGAATACACACTGACTGATGCAGATTGGAACGCACTTCGAGCCATGGGTTGGTGGGACCCAACGACGGCTATTGTTCCTTATGTTCCCAAATTGATTGTTCCATACGTCCACTGCGAGTGGACAGTGAGCGTGGACAAAAAGCTCTTTCGATTGGATCGCCAGATGACAGGTGTTGTGCTAGGAATGGTGCCGAAAGACATTCTAGCAGCAATGCTGGCCGATGGTGGCGAGACAGTCAAGGAGTTGATGCGGCGGCAGGTGACACCACGATTGGAGGCCGCCCCAGTTGAAGTGGATGGAGACGAAGAGCGAGTCGAAGTGCTAGCCGTAGAAGATCCAGTCGACAATGACGTGGAAGATCAAGACGAAGGGCGAGTCGTCGTTGAAGATCCAGTCGAGGAACCAATCGAACCAATCGATGCAGTTGTGGAGCCAACTTTGCGGCGGTCGACTCGGCGAATGGCTTCCATTGCCAGTCAGAAGATTGCAGAACAGGCGAAGACCAACCAGCGACAACGCCGCACAACAACAACAACAACAACACAAGCTACGACTGAACGGCGAACACGTCGATCCGGACGCCTGGTCAAGCAACCTAACTGGTACATTCCAGCTTAGGCAACAACAATCTTCAACAGCGTCGGACATTTGATCCGACGACTCATTCCCTTCGAGGTCATCGAAAGCAGGTAAGTCAATCTCGTGTGTGCTGTTTGCATTGCCATTGTCAATTGACTACTGTTGCACATAACCATTGTCTCTTTCTCTTTCTCAGATGCAGCCAGGTCGAAAACAGGTAAGTCAATCTCGTGTGGTGTTTGCATTGCCTTTGTCCCGACTATTGTTGCACATAACCCATTGTCTCTTCCTCTCACAGCCTCACTCACACCCAATTGCTTTGCTACTGACACACTCACACCTTGCCTTGTTACTGACACTTGTCTTGCTACTGACACACTCACACCTTGCCTTGCTACTGACACACTCACACCTTGCCTTGTTACTGACACTTGCCTTGCTACTGACACACTCACACCTTGCCTTGCTACTGACACTTGCCCTCTCTTGCTTGCAGCTTCATAGGCCTCCACTTGGAGATGACACAAACACACACACACAAGTCCTGGCCAGGCACCCTAGGTAAGTTCCAACTGCCGTGCATTGCTATTGCTATTGTCCGCTCGTAGGCCGGCCCCCTCCTTCATGGGGGACAAAAGACAAATCACGTAAGTTAATTTGTGCTGTGCATTGCTATTGTCCGCTCGTAGGCCGGCCCCCTCCTTCATGGGGGACAAAAGACAACACGTAAGTTAATTTTGCTGCATTGCTTGTCCGCTCGTAGGCCGGCCCCCTCCTTCATGGGGGACAAAAGACAAATCACGTAAGTTATTTGTGCCGTGCATTGCTATTGCTATCATTCTCTAACACAAACAACAACCACACATACATACATACATAAATATACATACATCATACATCATACATAACACAACAATAACCACACACACACACACCAATACAAATCCTTTCGAAGGTATCAGCAACAACATTAATTCATAGTAGAGGAATTTTTTTTTTTTTTTAACAGGGGCTCTACCCACTTCTTGTATCCGTAGCTGTAGTAATGCAGTGTAGATTCATTCATTCCATTTCATTCATTCATTCAAAACACAGGGGCAATGCTCACTTTTAGTACTATATGTTTGTGGTGAATTCTTTTCGTTAGACTCGTAGTCTTCTTCGAGTCGCACTGTAGCTATAGTAAACAAACTCATCGTCTCCATCGTCATGCAAAATGTGTCGTATGCATTACGCGTTTTCTCAACCGCAGAGTAGATCGTCAGCTCCGTGCCTACACTGTGTACTGCATGTAGCACAGAATGACTGTGTGTGTAGTAGTTTCTTTCGGACAGCACGACCCGATGCCTGTCATGAAGTTTCCTGGATGCGACAGGACTTCGGTACTTGCCGTGATGCATGCATACCCAACTGTAGATTTTCCGTCCGAGGACTCAGTGTTGGCATCATGCGTCATGGCGCATCCCGTCGTCGAAGGATAGACGATGGTGAAGGTGGGTCGGCAAGAGCGACGATCAAGACCGAAGCGGTGCACAAAGCTTGCACCAGATCTCATGCTTGCATGCATGCATGCATCGGAGGACAGGCAGTAGCCACGACAAAGCCGTCACGACAGCAAAATCCTTTGGAATGCAAGGGGGATATTGACTTGGTTGGCGCCTCCGCACACGCACCGTACTGGCTGCTGTCGCGCTGTATGCACCTCTCTCCTCAAGTCCGCTGCGTTTCATTGCGTGGCGTGGGTGTTCGAGTGACGGCACACTTTGAACAGCATGGAGCAATACCGGTAGTCTGGCAAGCTTGTCAGCAGTCATTAAAAACGTACGTGCAGCCAGATACGGTCCAAATGGACATTGTAATGCGGACGGACCTTAGCGAATCGAATCTCCCTGCAGCATTCTCGTAGACTACCGTTGCGGGATGGGATGACTTGCCGGTACTTGATTGTTGGAGTTTGGAACGAGTCGAGTCTTCGAGTTGATATCGGCTACCGTACCGCTACCTTGACTGTGAGGCTTGGAATCAGACCAATGAATACCGGTACCGGTACCCCCAAAGGGCATCTCGTTTCTGGGTGCGTTGTAGATGCGTGTGCGTGTGTGTGAGGGCCGAGACCATTCGCGACTCGAGGCAACGTTCATCGTCTCGTAGTGTGACATTCACTCTCTGTGAGGTCCCGCAACACGCACGTCACGGCTTCAAAACTGAAACTATTTTCTTGCGCGGGCGATGCAACGACGATGCATTTCACAAGAGCGAAAAAGACAAACTCGAGCGCAGCTCCACCGACGAGTATGAATGCTCCTGTGGTGCCGGTAGCAGCCAGTCACCCGCTCCACCAGAAACAGCAGGGCATCACGGGTCCAAACAAATGACGACCTACAGTCGGCGCACACAAGACCGGTAGCTGTGGGAGAACATCACTACTGTCGTTGCATCCAAGAGAACATTGCCAATAGCCACCATTCCTCCCACATGTACAACATTGCAGAAGCCTACAAGAATGATGTCAGCGAAACCAATCAGAACACTGCTGTAGCAATAATAATGTCCCGAAATGATTAGTCTTTGTCTATTGATGGTTGATGCTAAAGACATAGGTTGGCTTTTGGCTGCTCTGCTAGAACAATCAGTTGTTTCCTTCTTGCTATCTGCTGCTCATGTGTCGGGTATGGATGCATGCATTCATGCCAATGCCAATATGCTGCTTGGTGGTGTGGGGTATTGATGGTGCTGCTATGAAATATGTGATCAGTCGTCTTTGTGGGCAAATGTACAACAATCCTCAAAATCAATAAGTTGATCAATGGGGACATGCCGTGTCCAGAAGATTGTCTTTGTCGGTTCTTTTCTGATTGCGGCCTTTTCTTCTTTCTTGTGGCGCTGGATTTGCTTTTCTTCTTTCTCTTCTCGAGTCTCTTCTCGAGTCTCTTCTGGAGCCTTCAGACCTTGCAAGACAGCCTCAGCCCACAAAATGGCACCACCACCACCAGGAACGCCACTGTCAATGAGATAATCCACAACAGCTGGGTTATGGCGGAATGCCGTCAAGGTCACCACCCAATTTCGAAATAGCATGGCTTTCGCCCGATTGATGGCCAGCTTGTTGACGATGCGATCATGAAGATGATCACTAAAGAATCCTTTTTGTTTGTTTCTCATAGACTCGGCCTCTATTCCAAAGCTCTTCAAGTTGTCATGGGCCTCAACAGCAGCTGTGATGCGCTCCCAGTACTCGCAGTCGTCATCAGGGAAGTTTAGTCTTTTGAATTCAATGGATTCAAGGTGTGGTAAATCCAAGATCAACTTTGGCACATCCAGGGAGCAATTTCCTTGCCCACCTTCCTCTCCAAGTAAAACGAAGCTTTTAAGCATTGGGTGATCTCGAATCGCCCGCTTGATAGGTTCAAAATAGTTGTTTGGATCTTTTAGGAATGGATCTCGTTCGTAAAATACGAAGTCTCGTTCATCAAAATAGTCGATGCCCGGATCGTCTGTGTAAACAAGGCTGAGTCGCTCGAGGCTTTTGCACTGGGAAATGAACAATGCAAGCAAGTCAGCATCGGAAGGGTCCAAGAGTCTGCAATGCATTCTCTTGAGTGTTGGACATGCCGATGCGATGGCATCCTGAACCAAATGACGGAGATTTAGATGCGGCAAACCACTAAAAGTAGAAACCAAGGCGCTGTCGAAGTTGATTGTTTCAAGCTCAGGCGAGGCAGCAATCAAGCTTGGAAGACACACTAGAAAGTTTTCATATTCCAAACTTTGCATCTCCAGATCCAGTGTGCGCAGCTCCACCACACCATCAATCACATCAAGAGGCACTCCCCCTGAATGGAGAGAATTCCGTCGCTGCTGGCGGTAAAGAAACGCGAATGGATTGAACATTGAGAAGAATGACATGATTGTAGCCAAGGATCGACGAAAGACAAAGGAGGAAGGCTCTGGTTGCTCTGGTTGACAAACAATGACAAATGGATCTCTCGCTCTCGTCTCGTCGTCCAAAATGGAAACTCGGGAAGAAGCCAGAGAAGCTGTCCTTTGCTAGAGGATCGTACCATGCAGTCGTACCGCTGTGATCCGAGTCGATCGAGTCGAGTGGATCCCTTGCGTCTTTTGGATCTTGGTTTTGAGAATTCAGCTTCGGCAAAGCGATCAACAACGCCACGACCATGACGCATCTGCTCCATTTCTAGCTAGCTAGACAGGCCGTTGATTTGATACCGCAGCACCATCAAGACGACAATCTACACTCCTGCCTTGTTGGCTGTTTCATTGTCAGCAACGAGCATGCTCCTTTTGGCATCTCGCGCGACGGCCCTCTTTCGACCAGCTCGCGTTGTTTCCGTCGGAGCATCATCTGCCTTTTTGTTTGTGACAGACAACAACAACCGCACCATGTCGTCTTTTCCAGCGTGGCAAGTGGACAAGGTGGAAGATGGAAGCTTTCAAGGCACCGAACAAACTCTGTCCATCGACTCGCTGCCTCATGCTGAGAATGGCGTCTTGATTCGCGTCACGCACTCGTCGTTGAATTACAAAGATGCACTCAGTGCCAGTGGCAACAAGGGCGGCGTGACCCGCAAATTTCCTCATACTCCGGGCATTGATGCCGTCGGGACTTTGGTGGAAAGTGGAGAGCCATGTTTGGTGACAGGCTACGATTTGGGCATGAACACCGCTGGTGGATTTGGAGAATTGATTCGAGTGCCCAGTGAATGGATTGTCTCGCCCGTGCCATTTGCGCAGCCTCGGACGGCCATGGTGTATGGAACGGCTGGATTGACGGCCGGTCTCTGTGTCCAAAAGCTAGTGGAAAATGGCAAGGCGACACCGCAGGACGGTCCGGTGGTGGTGACGGGTGCTACGGGGGCGGTAGGAACCGTGGCGGTGGAATTGTTGGCCAAGCTGGGATTTGACGTGGTTGCCATTTCCGGAAAACCCGACAAGAAAGACCTATTGCTCCAATTGGGAGCCAAAGAAGTCTGCGGCAGAGATGCCTTGGATGCCACGAAAAAGCCCCTGTTGAAACCAATCTACGCACATGGTATTGATACCGTCGGTGGAAGTCCATTGGCGGAGTTGTTGAAACAGATTCAACCCGGTGGATCCGTCGCCTGTTGTGGATTGGTAGCGGGCGCACAATTGGAGACCACGGTATTGCCGTTTATTCTACGAGGCGTCCAGTTGCTGGGAGTGGATTCGGTAGAGATTCCACTCGACGCCAAAAAAGCTGTCTGGGACAAACTCGCCACGGATTGGTCGTGTCCGCAGACCGAGGCATCGGCCGTCGACATTGGACGGCATCAACTGGATCCGTATCTCAAGGCGTTCTTGAAGGGGGCGTCCTCTGGAAAAGTTGTCTTGGATCACAGTTTGACGACGACGAGCAGTAGCAACTTGTGAAGTACGGACCTACGCAGGTTTCGAGCTGAACGGATCATTCATTCATTCATATATTCTAATAATCAATTACAATCATATACGTACTACGTCGCGATAGTACATTGTAACCCAACCCCTCCCCTTGGTCCTACCGGTTTCTCTCTCAGGTTGGAGCTCCATTTGTCGACAGGACCCAACGCGTCTTTTCCTCATCGTGCCAACAAGGATTTGTCCATGCCATGCCATCCACAGTGGGAGCGTCGGTCGCCACTGCGGTCATTTGGTTGGTCGACGCTGCCTCTCTCTCGGTTTCAAATTGACTGGTCGCGGCATCCCTCGATACTGCGGTTTCAAATTCACCGGTCGCGGCATCCCTCGATACTGCGGTGACAGTGGAACGTAGTTGGTCGGCGCTCGACGAACTAGCAGTGGTCGAAGCATCCGAGGAAGAAGACAATACTGGAGTGATGGAACCACCAACGCCAGTGGAGGAGGCACCGCTGTTGGAGGATCAAGATGATGCTGCCGTTGTGGAGCAAGTGATGGAAGCACCAGTCGCATTGCGGTTGGACGGAGCGTCGATCGCATTCGCACAAGGATGGCTGGCTGGCTGGCAAATTTAGTTGGTCGACGCTCGAGGAATCACAGTAGTCGAAGCATCCGAGGAAGAGGACGATATTGGAGCGATGGAACCACCAACGCCAGTGGAGGAGGCACCGCTGTTGGAGGATCAAGATGATGCTGCCGTTGTGGAGCAAGTGATGGAAGCACCAGTGCTGACTTGAACATCACGGGCCGCGGCATCCCTCGAGCGATGAGAAGGGAACGTCTGGTGAATTCCATCGTAGTATCCACAAGGATTGCCCATGCCTGTAGCGTCAGTCACATTGCGGTTGAACATTACATTTTATTTGGTTGGAAGGCGCTGCTTTGATTTCAGCTTATGGCGTGTCAACAATGATACGGCGATGTCTTCTTCCTCCACCAGGCAAGAGTTAATTGGTCGACGCTGCTTCTCGCTCGGTTTCAGATTCGCCGGTCGCGGCATCGCTCAAGGCTTGTCGGCATTGATGCTGCAGTGACAATGCACGGTCTTGTGAATGCAGTTGTTCCTCCACAATGCAAGAGAAGGGAGGAGGCAACGAGTTGCGCGGCACAGAAATCTACAGCACCAATGACGGCGGGTTGGCACAATTGGTTGGTCGACGCTCGAGGAATCAGCAGTGGTCGAAGCATCCGAGAGAATGATAGAACCACCAACGCCAGCGGAGGAGGAATGGGTGTTGGAGGAGCAAGATGATGCTGCCGTTGTGGAAGAAATCAAGTGATGGAGTGCTTTGACTTCAACATCTTGGCCCGCGGCATCGCTCGAGGCCGTCGGCAATGATGCTGCGGTGACAATGGAAGATCTTGTTCCTCCACAAGGCAAGAGAAGGGAGCTGGCAACGTCGCGTCGTGCGGATTGTCGGACATGACAGACAAGACGAGTCTACAGCATCAGTGACGGCGGACTGTCTCGCAGATTCGGTAGATGACCCAATGCTGTCAAGGAATGTTCCCCCACCAAGAGTACAAGGGCAAAGGGGAGTCGGCAATGATGCTGCGGTGATATTGGAAGGACTTGCAAACATGTTCCTCCACAAGTCAAGAGAAGAGAGGAAGCAACGTCGCGTCGTGTGGATTGTCCTTCGGCCATGGCACAGAAGTCGAGTGACAGTCGAGTCTACAGCACCAATGATGACGGCGGATTGTCTCGCAGATAGATGAACCAATGCTACCAAGGCATGTTCCCCCATCAAGAGTGGAAGAGCGCAGGGGAGACGCTGATTGACGGGCCATGCGCAGTTCGTGCAAAAGCAGGCCGCATTGCTGTGGGTTGTCGTCTCGTCCTCGCATTTGGCTTCGTCATGAAGGTGCACGGTTGCGGCTGCTGCGGCTGTCCTGGGCATGCGAGAAAGCTCTCCGATTCTTTTCTCCACTGCAGCAGAGCCGATCCCTTGAAGGTACCGCGGTTTTCCTTGGAATGGAACTCCGACAAAGAAGCGTGGCTAGTTGTCGGCGGTTGATGAAGAGGAAGCACATGGAGGAGGTAGGGTTTCTCTCAGTTGGACTCTTCACGCTGTCTTCTCTGGCGCTTGTTTTGCGATAGACAACGCGGGTACTGTACCTCACAACCAACACCGTCTTCCAGGATGTCTGGGTTCATTTGTATTGAACAACCAATTGTAGTTCTGTCCAGCAAAGCGTCCAAGGCCGGACGCAGGTTCCACCGTCATTGGCTCAAAGACTTGGAAGCTGTCTTTCAATGGTTCGTTCAAGTCTTGCTGGAGAAGGCAACTGCTCGCGACAAGGGAAGGGGGTCCATCGCACAGAGAGTAGGAAAGAGAAGACTCTGGTAGGAGGAATGAATGGTCGATCCATTGTCGTACTCTGGTTCAATGCCATGATCGATGCGAGGACGAAGGCGACAAGCTATCCTTACGCGCCATGTTAAGGTTAAGAAGGGACCACGACACAAAGGATCCGACACAGAGAAGAAGATCCAAGACCAAACCGCCGTGCATGGCAAGAGCTTTGGAATGGCAGTTGGTTGTCGTCCCCACAAAAGCCAGAGGAGGAGTAGAATCACCCGACGATGTCCTGTCTTGTTTGTTGGGAGGAGAAACCGGACGCCTCCTTGGTGGCGCTCTCCACCCAGTGTTCCCATGAGTGCTGCCGAGAATGTGCCGTCCGATGGATCAATAAGGCGGAAAGAGCCGCCTGTGAAACGTCTGTGCCCGTGTGTCCCTTTTGCCAGCAATCCATGAACGAGACTCAAGTGTTGGCCGTGTTGGGGCGACCATTCCGTCCCATCCAACCGACAGCTCACGACGACGAGTGGTTGGCGGAACACACCCAGTCATGTCCGCACTGTGGAGTCGCCATTCAAAAAGTGGAAGGAAGTTGCGATTTGATGGAATGTTTGTGTGGGATGCGCTTTTGCTATGCCTGCGGTAATCCTCAAGCTCAGTGCCCATGCTCCACAACAGAAGCCACGCGGCATCATTATTATTGGGACAATTGTTTTGACCGCCAAGCCAGCAGGATGGCTCCTCCTGTCGCATCCAAGAAGGCTGGCCATGATGATGTAGACTTGCAAGGTCATTTGGAACAGAGAAGGGAAGAATTTGCCAGGCAGAACGACGTGACAACACTGTGGTTTGGGATGTGCATTGTCGCTGGTGGATTGGTCGTGTGCCTCGGTTCACCGGAGGATGGCCGTGACGCTGCTGCTGTCGATGTTGAGGTACTATTCTCTGGACGGATATGGCTTTCCATCCTTCTTGCTGTAATCTTGAGCTCTTGTCTCTCTTGTCTCTCTTGTCAAATACGCTGATGATACGATACTGTAACGATTCGAATATGCCAGCAGGAAACATCTCTCACGCCACCCCAACCGCCAACTCAACGTCCCAGATGTAGACAGACCCCGAGCAACAACAATCCACTGTCAAAATGCATGTGACTATTCAGTTATTTCTAGAGTGATGAATCACAAGAACAGGAAATCTTTAGGAATCGGGAGAACCTTTTCCGTGCTTGGTTTCAGAGGCAACATCCCGTGAACGATAGGCATAGAATTGGAACGAACGACCTCCCTTAGCTAAAGGCGCTTACACCATCTCCAGTTTAACCAACCAACCACAAACGTTCTTTAGCACGGATGTCCCCTACATGTCTCATTTAGACCCACCGGATGCGCAGAAAAGGTTGCCCTGTCTGGTCACGCAGAAAGGTTGCCAAGCCTCTTTGCGGCAAGCATGGAGAAAGTTTTGTTTATTGTCTATGTACTGCACCAGCCTTCATGCAATCAGGAACGACCATACCACGCTGACAGCACCGCTTCCCGTCTGCTCAGCGAAGTTAAGCATTGTCGGGCCAGGTTAGTACTACGGTGGGGGACCACGTTGGAATCCCTGGTGTTGTTCTTTTTGCTGAACAGCTTGTTGCTTTGCTAACGTTATGTTGCGACCATGGAGATGAAGCACCTACTAGTATCCTGTGGCGGGGCCCTTTTGCTGTGGTTAGTCTAGCTAGTGATACCGATGGCCAGCTCATGTTGTGTCGCTGTGTGATGTCTCTAATAACATGCTACACGAACGGAGCTTTCTGCCGCGCACCCTCCCACAGTCTCGAGCAAGTGAGGGTCCTAACCCGATGTTGAACTTCAACTCGCCACGCATCAACAAATCTTCCAACCAACATCCCGACATCATTATTTTGTCGGAGGTGATTGCCGCCAATAATAATTTAACTGTCTGCCTCATTGCCACTACCTTCTATCGTATCAAGCAACATGAAATTCACAGCTGCTTCCCTCGTGTTTCTGCAGCTTCTGCTAAATAATGGCAGCCATGCCTTTTCTGTGAACCAATATACTCCCACCGATGCTGCTATGACGCGCATGAGTGCCACTGTGGAGGCAGCAGCTGATGAAAAGGTGACCGAGCACAACCACTGTCAAGAACCAGGGGATCGGGATATCTTGGTCCGTGCTGCTCGTGGAGAAACTGTGGAACGAACTCCTGTCTGGATGATGCGACAAGCTGGTCGATACATGGCAGCCTTTCGTGCATATTCCACCAAGTATGAATTCCGACAAAGGTCTGAAACTCCTGCCATGGCCACGGAGCTGTCCTTGCAATGTCACCGCAAATATGGAATGGATGGAATCATTATGTTTTCCGACATTCTGACACCCCTGCCTACTTTGGGCATTGACTTTGATGTAGTGAGAGGTACTGGACCCGTCATCTCTACAGAAATCAGAACAGAAGAAGATGTCGATGCCTTGGCCACTGCCACCAAGGACAGTTTTGATGAAAAGCTTCCCTTTATTCGAGAAATTCTAGGAGAGCTCTCCAAGGAAGCACAAGAAATGAATACTTCTTTGATTGGATTTGTTGGAGCACCCTTTACTTTGGCATCCTACACCATTGAAGGAAAGTCCAGCAAAAACTGCCTGGAGACAAAGAAAATGTTAATGTCTGATGACCGTGGAGATGACAAGGCTGTCTCCAAATTCTTGGATAAGTTGGCCAACATGATTGGCATGTATGCCTGTCATCAAATTGAATGTGGAGCGCAAGTCATTCAAGTCTTTGAGAGTTGGGCCCATCAACTCAACCCTGATCTATTTGAACAGTTTGCCAAGCCAGCTGCTCAAAAAGCCATTCAAATCATCAAAGAACAACACCCTGATGTCCCTGTCATTTATTTTGCCAATGGAGGATCCTCTTATTTGGAAAAGCAACGTGATATGGGAGCTGACATGATTGCTGTTGATTGGGCTGTAGACATGGCAGAAGCACGGAAAATTTTGGGGCCTGACGTTGCCATTTCTGGCAACATTGATCCCACCATTCTGTTTGGATCCAAAGAACAGATTGAACAGGCTGTTCGGGACTGTATTGATAGAGCTGGGGGTCCAGGAAAGCATTTGCTCAACCTGGGTCATGGAGTCATGCAAGGCACCCCTGAAGAAGCTGTTGGTTGGCTGGTTGATGAATGTAAACGATACAAGGGCAAGGATGCTTAAAATAGTGGGTATACCAGGCTAGCTGCTGTTGTCAAAATTTCGTATAGGTGTGGCAATCAAAGACAGCGGCTTTAGTGTATCAATGTGGCTCTTTCTTACGAATGATTCATCCCCTTACCAAAGGATCCCAGAGTATGAGAGTTGCCTTTTAAAACACTAGCTCAGCAAACCTGTGGCTGTTGGACGGAAACCAAGTTGAGGCTCCATAATGCCAAGCCTCAAGATGGATTGTGGCTGTGGTCCCGGTGATACGACGATTCGGTCGATGGAGGCGCCCTGTGTGCTGCTCGCGTAAAACCCAACACTCTCGAAGTGGCCATTTTCGTGAGAAAGTGGGCGCCGCCGTGCAAACAACGGTGGAACAAGGCAGGTCTTCAATCCGCGGGGGCAAGGAAGCGTTCAAACGGCGTGTCAAGTGATGCGAAGAGGTGGGCAACGGTAGTCTTGATTTAGAATATTGGTGCTCGTTGCAATCCGTAGCTAGCTCGAACCCAAGCATCATCCCCCGCCTCTTCTTTCGTGATGCTGCTCGCCTGGCTAGCCAGCAATTGCAACTGTTTTTTTTTAAGCCGGTGCGTTCCTAGAGTCGCACCGTGCCGGTGTTTATTGTTACATTATCTAATCTACTAGCTTTGCCTAGTTGTTGGCATGTGATCACATCATTGGTGTGTGTTGCTTTGCTTACTCCTCAGTCAAGGCTCAAATCTTGCCAGCCAGTGTACTGCGTGGATGCTGTTGTTCTCAGCCAACCCTTGGGTGGCGCCGGTATATGCCGCATTCCGACGTCGCTCTCCGTCCCACCAAAGGAATGCTGCATGGCACTCCCATGCAACATGGAATCATTGTCATAGTATCCCGCCCCGCCCTTGTCAAATACCTCAAACACTTCGGCTCTGTGCGTGGGAGAGGAAGGCGCTTCCACGTCGCTGCAACTTGCTGCTTTACGCGCATGAACCGGAACCTCCTTGTGTGTCCAGCCAACTTGCAACAGTTCGGCGACATCTTGTTCCGTTTTCAAGAACCAAACTTCCTGTCGTTCAGTGGCTCTAGTTTCGGCCGTTCTTCTCCGCAACGTGGCCGAAAGCACAATCCCCATCACTGTCGCCAGCGTGGTCAGAAGCATCCCTAGACCCAACCGCGCATGAGAGTTGTTGGAATCGTCGTCGAGCAATCCATGAGTGAACGTCCCTTCAACAGTAGCTCCTGGTTCTTCCACTCCAATAGTTGGCGCTACTGTTTCTGGGATCTTCGGGAAAAAGTCGTCGCCTATCTCAATGGTGTCGTCTTCGAAGAGAAAATCCAAATCATGTTCTGACCCAGGAGTGGCCAGCGCAATGATCTGATGGACGAGATCGTCATCGTCACCTACATCAAACTCTGCCAATTCCAGCATCTGCGTTAGAAATGCCCCGGATACAACGGCTGCTGCCAAGACACGCTGCAAGAAACGACCAATGAAATCCAACGTCCCTTGTTCCTGCACGGGGACCCAGTAGGGCTGATTGCTGTTCTTGGTGCTGTCGGCTGTGGGTGGCGCTGCGCTCGTTCCGTTGATGGGCGGTCCCGATCCCATATTAAACGCCGCCACCGCGCCATCTCCAAACACGCTGCGTAGAGCACGATGCACACCACCATTGTCAATGGTCAAATCAGAGAAATCTTGATAATCGTCTTGGACGGCATGATGATGCACGTATACGGGATAAATCATGGTCAACTTCCACCAGGCATAGTCGTCCTCCTCGTACACCAGTTCGACCCGAGTGTCCGCCAAGAACATTTCCCAAATGCCCGAGGATGCAAACAGGGGTGGAGGTGGATCATTGTCGCGATCGGCCATGACTACCATGTCATCATCCACGGCGGTCATGCTATCGTCGTTGTGGCTGCTTTGATTGTTGAGCTGATTGTTGTGGCTGTTGTGGTCCGTATCATTGACATGATCAGGATGCCAAGCGTTGGCATCCGTAGTGTTGTTGTCGTCGTCAAGTAACGTCATGTTTCCTTCCAATGGACTACCAAGATCATCAACATCATCATCATCAAAAAAGAACGAGTAGATGGCTTGTCGAATCTCTTCTTTGAGATCTTGCAAGAGCGGAGATCCAGTATCACTGGTCGAGTTCCCGCCCTCCTCCAAGTCCTCTTCTTCAATTTCTAGGTATTCGAGTACCATGTGATACAAATCTTCCTTACTCAACGGCGCCATTTCGAGCCAATCCCAGAGCATGGTATCCGACGAGGGTGCCGGTGTGGCGGTCGTGTCCACCCCGTCGTTGTCATCGTCTGGCATCATGGACAGCAGCACCAAATCATCATCAACCATGGTTCCATTGTTGTAGTCCATGGTAGCGTTGACATCCAGATAATCCCACGTCATGTTGACCACAGTCGACGCAGATGGCAGCGAGGAAGACTGATTCCGCACGGCAGCATCACCGTCGGTACTGTTATAGTCAGCAGTGATATTGTGGACGTCACTACTGGTCATCATGCTACTACTGTTGGTACCATTGACGAGTGGCATGGTACTGGTAGGCGCCCGATGCTTCTCTGCTCCATCCGGTTCGGATGATTTGGAGGTTTCAATCCGGGAGGGAGACGACTCCAACAAGGTAATGGCATTGTCCAGTGTCGAATGGAAGACTATTGTGGCTGCATTGGATACTTCTTCGACCAATAGTTCTACCGAATGAGCATGTTCGGGGGAGGACAAGTTCCAAGTCAACGGCAGTGCCAAACTCAGAGAGACTTGCACGGTATTGTTGGCATCGTAGTCTCGTAACGGCGCCTCAGTTGCTTCCTCAGATGCAGGGGTGGTTTCCGTCGGACCCTGGCTACTAGTGGTTGTAGTAGTCGTAGTGGAAGTGTCATCTTGTGCACCATCATCCGTGCTAGTCTCGGAGGGAGGAGGAGAGCCTGACATTTCCAAGGCCTGAGCAGGGGTAGCTTGAGCAGGGGTATCAGGGGTATTCTCAGGACGAGGGGCTTCTCGGCTAGTGCTTCCCACTGGCGTCAGCGGGATGCCCTGGCCAATTCCGCTGGAATAAGAAGAGGCGGAAGGTTGTTGTGTTTGTGGTGACTGTGAGTCAGCCATTCCAGAAACGGAGAAGGATCCCTTATCAGGATGATACTTGGCACTGTCAGTGCCATTGTTGCTGCTTTCTTCCGAGGGTTCTTCTGAAAGCCCAAAAAACCCTAACGTTCTTCCGGATGGGTGATCAGGTGACGGTCCTCCTGCATAAGCTGCATTGCCCTCAACGGGTCGTCCCAAAGATACCGAGAAAGCTTGGATACCCCTACGCAAACGTCGAGCTTTTCGTCGTTCGCGATCAGCTGTAGAAGAAGTATCCCTTTCCGCAGAGGGCAGGGCCGATGACATGCATCCCGTAGACAACAGCATGGCCACCAGGCAGAGCCATTGTTTCCTCCTACTGGGCGCACCGCTTCTTGATCTCCTTGTTCCCACGGAAGGCCGAGTAGCAGAAGAAGCAGCGATAGAGCACCTCTGCCGTTGACCGCCTTCTTGTCCCATTCTGAAGCTACTAGGTTGCGTGCCAAAAGACTCTACAGTGGCTTGCACGTGGTTTCAAAAGGGACATGCGGCGGGGTGTGTACGGGCCACAGCGTGGCTTGGATATCCTTTTTTGCAGATGACTATCTGACTGACTGTATACCCAACAACAGCAATAACACAAGCCCTTTCTCGATTGGTATATCTGGAGAGCGTTCCGTATGACGATGGGATTCTCAACTAAATTTCCAAACGTCTACTGGTCGACAAATACGCCATGGTCGCGTCCGAGCCGATCGAGATCCCCGAACGGTTTGTTGGCCGCAGCCCAGTCCCTTTTGCTGAGTCTTGTCGATCAAAACTCGGCACGATCAATGCCTTGCTGTTATCTCTTTGAGGGCACCTGATTTCACAGGTTCACTCCAGCTCAGCATCGACTATCCAAGAGAAAGTACAACGGAGTAGCCATACACATGAAAGAATGCATCGTGGAGATCTGGTGGTTTAATGAATCTTCGAAATCGTGACATAGTGGACAACCAAAGAGTGTTCTTTTGCGATGCTTTGACAATGGGTTGTTGGAGCTCACAAAATAATTAAATGGGCAGTCCCAATCTCGAAAGCAACAAAGCAACAACTCCTGACTTTGGTAGACTACCAGCTGGCTACTTCAGCAGTCGGCCAGGCCTTAAGAGGATGGGAGGCAATACTTGGGAAAGGGATCCATTGGATCAGGGGTTACAACAAGTGCAGAACTGTCATTTGAAGCAAGATGCTGTGGGTGATTGGCTTTTACCAAACCATTATTCGGAGTACCTAACCTTAGGTCTTTGGGGCACCGAAATTGGATAGCTAGCTGGTAGCTGGTAGTTGCAATTGGATCTTGAACTTTGGGGCAACCACGGAGGTCAAGTTAGTTGGAAGTGTTCATCACCCACCTACCCATACAAGTTATTCAGATCAACCAGATCCCCCAAATTTATGGTAGTCTACCGCTGAACGTTACGCCTATCAAACTAATCCACTTTTATGATCACTGGCGGCAAAGTTGCCTCAGCTACTGCAATGGCACTCTCCAGAGCTCGTTTGGCCAACGCCTTGCTGGGGTACCAGTACACGCATTGGCTGTTCTTGCGGCCTGAAGCGCCTCCACAAGACACAAAGTAGAGTTTTCGGTCTTTGTTGTAGTAGGCTGCTGTGAACATGCTAGTGGCTTCGTTCAGCGCGCCACCATAGTTGGCAACTTCTTGCCAGGAAATCTCGGCAGAGGGAATCGACGGAATGCTACTACCGGGCTTTGCTGTCGCAGGAGGTACAAACAAGTGTTGCTTGGGACAGGTGCACCCATCCTGCTGTTCGCAAAAGTTTCGTCCCGTGACAAACCAAAACCGACCATTTTCCGTGTTGGGCAACGTATGATCCACTCCAGAGTCGTTCGCGGTCGTCCCGAACCCTCGTCCTCCCGACGGCTCGTCCAGAGACTTCAGCGTTGGCAAAGTGGCACTCGCCTGTGCAGCAGCACTGTTTCGGTCCAGGGTGGACGCGTAGAGTTCATTCGGTGGGGTAAACCTCGGATGAGCCTCCGTGATGGAACCTCGGCGTTCTGGACGATGGTTGTCACCACCGGGTGAGGTGGCGTCGAAACTATTACGCCTCGAGCCATGCTGCTGGACGGTTTCATCGTTGCTGCTGCCGTCTGCGGAACTGCTGCGGTTTTGCATCGTCAATCCTTCCGACGTCAAGCGGATGCAATATCCAGGTGGTAGCGTTCGGTATCGATTCGGCTCTGACATAATCATGTTTCTCTCTGGGCCCCAATCAACGAGGTCCTTGGTGGCAGAGGTTTTGAGAACACCCAACAACAAGGCTCCACTGTCTTCTCTGTCCTCCACGGCCCGAAGGAAGGTTGAAACCGCACTCTCGAGATTGGCCCGAAGGCCTTTCTGGCAGCCCTTGGAAATGCACTGCAGAAACAACTTCATGTCCTCTTCAGAAGGCACTAGTACCTGCACCCCCTTGCTTTGGCTGCCTCGTCGTTCTGGTCCTCCACTACCAAGGTTCGGACTGCTGTTGTTCACGCTATGCTGCAGCTCTTGAGCCTCTTCAGAACCTGGGAAACCATTGGCTTCAATGAATCTCCGACCTGAGGGACACAATCGAATGTATGTCTCCAATGACAATCCCTTCCTTTGGGCTTCATCTGGTTTGAGGTAGCTGCATGGTACAATGGGCTGACCTGCTGCACGAAGATTCCTCCGGCCCCACTCCACCAATTTCTTAGCAGTGGCTTGCTTCTTTCCTAAGAACATGGCTTTGGTGTCCTTGCCACCGTTTCTGCGGGAGAAGCGCTCAACCAGCGTCGTCTGTGCAACCCAAGCACCTCCAGTGTCTCCTGACCAAGTAGACTCCAGGAACATTTGCAATGCTCCGTCGGCTCCTTGCAAAGATGGCCTCTTCTTGGGTGGTGTCTTGCCATTGTCCGTGACATTATTTGTGCTTGAGTCCAGTTTCAACGTAGGCCCTGATGAAGTGTCGAAAGCCGGGCAAGATTGTTGCGCAACTGACATTGGTTGTTGCAACACTGCTGGAGGTTGGCGACTATCGAGACTGGTGAAAGAGCCAATACTCTCGGGGGATTGCTCTCCGGAAGGATTAAGAGCACCACCTTGCCTCCACTGCTGCTCTTCACTTGCAAGAAACCCATTGCCCTCAATGAATTCCAGACCCAAAGCAGATAGCCGCAAGTATGTATCCAGCGACAAGCCCTGCTTCTTTGCAGCCTCTTTCGATAGATAGGTAGGTACAACAGGTTCTCCCAGTTCACGGAGATTCCTCCTACCCCACTCAATCAATTTCAGTTCTGTGGCTTTCTTTCTGGCGATCAAAAGCGATTTCTTGTCTCTTTTGCCAAGATTTCTGTAGAACCGCAAAGCCAATTCTCCCTGTGCCTCCCAGGTGCCTTCAGTGGACCAAGTAGATTCAAGGAAAACCTGCAGCGCACTGTCTACTCCTTCCAAGGATGGCCTCTTCTTGGGAGTTGTTTCCCCCGACGTGGTGTCCAACATGTCTTTACTAGCTCCATGAGCAGGGCTTCCTGCGGACTTTGGTGAGGGGTTGGAGGCGGATGGAAATTGCTGGCGATTGTCAGTGGCAACTGATGTCGGTTGTGGCAAAGCAGTCTGCTGTGGTTGGAGGCGCGATTCTGTTGAGTTACTCCGCTTTTCGTCCTTGAGCCCAGCTTGCGGTTGTTGTGTTGCTTCCCGTGTGGAAATTTCTACAACGGATGTGGATATTGTATTTGGCTTCTTTCGACCCCCGTGAAGAGCCAACATCAGCCCAGCCTGTTGCAGACGAACAAACCTTTCATTCGACAAGTCCTTCGGTGGCTTTTCTAAACCACATTTGACCATGCGCCCATCTCCTTTGAGGTTTCGGCGGCCAAATTCCACCAAAGACTGATTGAATGTGTTGCTTCTCGCATTGGCAAAACTTTCCTTGGCTTTTGTGTTGGCACACTTGTAAAAGGCCAAGGCAACCATACTTTCGGCCACCCAATCAGCATTGGCCCGAACACGTCCATTCAGAACGGCCTTGCAAAACAAGACGACATGATGATCTTCTTGACTGGAAGCCACTGGCAGAGCTTTAGCCATGGGAGGAGCGTTTTCCTTGCTCTCAGAAGTCTCACCGCTCGATGATGTCGTCGAATGTGCACCATTCTTTTCATCTTGACACATGGGCTGCACACTATCATCATTTTGAGCAACTTCCTTTTTCTGCGGTTCTTCTGGAGCCCCTCCTGGTTGCGTCGTACTGGTATCAAGACTCGATCCACTGGGATTGTTGAGACTCTCAAGATGTCGAGCTCTGGCCTGTAGCTCTTGCGCAATTTGTTTAGCCACAAGCTCCTCTGGTGACAATGCCCTCTCTTCCTGTTCTAGCACCATTTGTGTAGCTACTTGCCCATCTGAAGACATTGACTTTTCTTCCTCGTCTGAATCTTGCTCCACTTCTGACTTTTGCCTCTCAGCTTCCAGCTTGCTCTCTTCAATGTGATGTTTGATACTCATAGCAAACGCCACTGCGGAACCCACTGTGTCACTTCTGGCAGTGGGGTCTGCTCCGCGGGCAAGGAGCTTCTTCACAAGCCTTGGCTCTTGGAACACCACAGCTGAATGCAACAATGAAAAGTTGTTGGGTCCCAAAATGTTGGCACTCAACCTATGCTTCCAAGCGTTTTCGTTCTGGAATCGATCAACCCATTCCACAACTGTGGACAAATCTGCACAAGCTCTTCGTCGTCTTTCAGCTTTTCATACAAAAGAGGAACTACAAGGTGAGGAGTGTGTTTGGCATGGGTGTGCACCAGACAAACATTATCTTACAAATGAAATTGGGCTCTAAAGGAACTTTGCGGACAACCAGTCGCAATTTCATGCCTCGTCGAAACACCGAGCTGTCGCTAAATGGCCTCTCGAGCACAACCTCTTTGTGATAAACATAGCAGCGGTCACTGATGTCTCTAATGGGCAGCGATAACGAGCAAAACTTCTTCCCACCTCCGGAAGATCGGAGTTCAATCACCAGTGTGCGGCCTTCCGAGATCCCTCTATTGAAATTTACCAAGTACAAGTCTTCGGGCATCCCAGGGTACTCCACCTCACCAGTAATGGGAATGTCCCTAGGTGGAAGTCCCTGAAGTCTCTGCTGGTTGCCGTGCACATAATGAGAAACAACGCCTTCAAACCTTTGGGCCTCGGGGTGTAACTCCCCAATTTCGGTCAACTTGACCCCTACGATCTTTTCCACTCGCACTTCATACCGGCACCACGATTTTAGACATTTTGCCGCTGTGATTGTAAGGTCGGCGGTTCTGTAAGTACGAATCACTGTCTTGACCAATGGCAGGTTACGTTCTTTGGCATACTGGTATTCGGAATCGAGCCACCTTGCTCCACTGCTGGTAATAGAATCTGTGGGGAATAGAAAGCGTCATTAGCACGGTTGTACCAGGGTGGCATGAAAACAGAAAGAAGAACACACTTCTGCGCGCACCTGTACGAACCAACCCAGTTTCCAATGCCGCGAGAAGGCCCTCGATTTTATTGTTTCTAAGAGCTTGGACTAGGGATTTGAGTACTGACGCCTCAGTGGCAGGAGGATCGTTGTCGCCTTGTGTGCTGCCATGGGCTACGCCTTCTTGAGAGTGTACTTGAGAGCGTACGACCGGAAAAGCCACAACGTCTGGACAAACCAAATGGATTTCGGTTGGATCGCTTCCTAGCTGGTAGAATCGTTCTTCAAAGTGAGCTTCTGTTTTGAACTGGACTTTCTGACTTTGAGTTCTGATGCCTTTGTCTGCAGGAGCCCGAAAAATCGACAAAGGCTTGGAGCCATTGCGATGATTTGGTTTTCGGGGCTCTGCAAGTTTAGGGATGGCTGCTGCTGCTGTATCTGAACTCGGGCCTCGTGCAGCGCACAAGTTGACACTGTTTCCATCCTGTTTTGGCTGCGCAGTTTCTGTACCGGGGCGTCTTGCTACATGGGGATAATAATTGGCCGTTTGGCCCCCGTTTCGCCCGTTTGGTGGTGGCCCCTTCTCTTGCCCCAGTGTTGGCGGTGGTGGTTTGGCAATGCTTGCCCCACCTGCCCAACCTTCAACGGATGATACCTTCCATTTCCCCCCGTTCGCCCAATCATCAGATCCACCCGTGACACCAGGAATCTGAAGCTGGACATTCAAGTTGGTAAACCAAACTTTTAGCTCGGACCTTCTGCTCCTTTCCAGATCGTAATACTGCTTCAAATCCGCATGACCTGTAAACGGTTCGATCACCAGATAAGTAAGTAGGTGAACAGACACAGATAGCAGCGTTCTAGGATGCAACTCACCTTCGATGACATATTTCATAGCTCTACCGTTTTGGGACACTTCAACCGATTCAACTATTGTTGGAAAGACAAGACGGCATCAGAAGGCATCCAAGGGCACTGACGCATCTCCGACAATGGCATTAACATCTTACCACAACTTCCTTTCTGAATGAGCTTACTCAGCTGAGCAGCCTGGCCAGACGGGGCGACAGATGCAATGACACACATCTTTCTGCCTTGCACTTCCCCGGTCACGCAAAGGAAACCAAGGGAGTCAATCGCATCGAAAGCCACGCTGTATGATCGTAGATTTGAACCGTTGCCAGCAGCCGGGGCCCTCGCTGCTTTGGGCTTCTCGTTTGTAGGATTCTTGGGCTGCTGGGGGAGATTGGGCACCAAGCGTTGTTTGGTTGTCCGTTCGTTCACGTCACCGGCTTTGTTGTGGTTGGCCAGCGGCTCCCTGGGTCTCTTCCTCGGAAGCTTGAAATCGGAAAATTGCTTGGGCTTCTCCTTCTTTGGCGGTGCTTTGGTGAAAACATCTCCACAACGAAACACTCTCTTCCAACCTTCGATACAGCAGCAACTCTCGACGCATCGAGAACCAAAAGCTCTCTGCCTAATATGCGACTCCCACATCTTGACCAACCTAGCCAGAGTTTGACCTGGATTTTCCTTGGGGAACTCTTTTACCACTAGAGGCTTGAACTTCGGAACTGTACGGCAGGAGTGTGAGAATGAATGAAATAGCTTATTACCTCCTTCATGACTTCCGCACACTTACAGAAGTGATTCACAAATCCTACAGGGGAGTCTTTTTCGTCCTTTAATCCTCTTGGCAATTCCCCCTTCTTCTTGTGATACTGAGGTACAATCGTTGTTGTGAGTTCATCAAGACGGAGAAGGCAGGGACAATCTTCATGACAATCTTCAGAGAACATAGCCTTGTGCCGAATCCACATTCGAGAGATAACGGATTGATACCCGATTTCACTATGTGCATACTCCGTGTCATAAACGACCGCGCATTTGGTCTTGAACTTTTGGTACGCATCATCACGTTTCTCCTTCTGCTGTTGTTCTTGTGGTTGCTGCTGCGCGGCACTTCCTCCTTCGCCACTACTACTGCGACTGCCAGCGGACGACACCGACAAACCGGAAACTACGGTAGTGACATCAGCAGCATCGGCGATGTTGACCGTACCCACTGGTGGCTCGCCATTTTTCTGTTCCATCACTTCATTGTCTGGGCCTTTGAGTCGTTCCTGATGCTGCTTTTCTGGCTGCTGTTTCGTTTGGTTTTCTGCCTTGTTGTCGCAAACGTGTTGATGCTTCTCCGCCGCTTGCTCTTCAGATTCCTCCTTTCGTTCATTTTGCTGCTGCTCCGTCGCTGATTTCTTTTCAGATTCCTCGTAATGTTGCTGCAACTGCTGCAACTGTGATTGTTGTTGTTGTTGTGGACTCCCTTGCCGCACTCCTCCCACGGTGCGGTCCAATGCAATTTTGCCTCCCAACGAAGGACACAACGCCAGAGTCACGGTCACATCAGTATCCTTGGTGAACTGGAGGATTTCCCGTTGTTTTTGCCATTGCTTGTGCGTCGAGAAATCCTGATAATCGACTCGTGTAATGACAGCTAGGAATTGGGGACTTTCTAAGACTTCTCTGGACCCACCAAACAACGCTTGCAAGCCTACCAACAGACCGTCATCTCTTCCTTCTTCACTGTTCGTTGTAGACAGCAACTGATTCGAGTCAATCCATAGACCCAGACAAGGCACACGCCGACCACTAGCAGTGTTCTTTTTGGATGGCAACACTTCCACTAAAACGATATTTTGACCCCAATGCGCCAAGAGCGCCGCAATGGACAGTTTCATTTCCAATTCCAAATGATGTGGATCCTTCAAGAGCTCCATGACGACAGTTTGCATCCAATGTGTCCGAATCGTCTCGTCGGCAAATTGTCGAAACTCTTCCACGACATCGCTGCGTCCCTGTATAGTGACGCGCACGAAATCTTGATGGGATTCGTAGACCCGTGACAAATCGTACATGCCTTCTTCAATGATTTGTCGTGTGGAAAATTTGACACTGGATTGCGCCTGTTTGCAAAATGGCTGCCAACAGTCTCGATCAAACATTTCGACGGTACAAAGTTGTTTGGGCCAAGATTGACGGACGACAATCATTTTCACATCCTTGTTATCCTTGTAGCTTCGTCGTACTGTCCATTGGATGCTTCGTTGGTGGACTGCCGCCGCGACGGAATCCCAATTGAACGAGTCTTCTAATGATTGACTGGTGGATGACAGTTCCTGCACTAGACTGTGTGTAGCGCGTGTTCTGGATCTCGCATCCCACGGAACTGTGGTGATGCGTCGGAGCTGTCGTTGAATATCGTGTGCATTCCAGTGGCTGGGGTCTACCATGTTGGGAAAACAAATAGTGTCTTGGGGAGTGGCTAAATATTGGATTTTGCTGGACCGTTGGAGTGACTGAGATGCTGCCGCAATGGATGCTGCTGTTGCTTGTGGTTGTTGCTGAGGCAACGGATGCTTTCGAGGCCGTCCCCGTTTCTTTTTGGGAGGATCTGTAGCAGTAGTGATTGTGGTTGCACTAGCAGCAGCAGGTACAGTTGTCTCGTCTTGTGGAGGGGATTGGGAAACTTCCACTGGAGTTTTTCGTGGTCGCCCACGCTTTTTGGGAGGAGCTTCTTTCTCTTCACTTGCGGGTATCTTTCTAGGACGTCCACGCTTTCGTTTGGGCTCTTCTTGTGGCGGTTTTTCCTCTGGCAATGGACTCTTTCTCGGCCGTCCTCGCTTCTTTTTGGGAGGATCATTGGTGGATGTAGCCACGGAGGAAGGAGTCGACGAAGCGATGGAATGATTGTCGGTTGTGGCTAATGGCAGTGGATTTTTTCGAGGTCTTCCTCGTGGTCGTTTGACAGGAGGAGCCACTGACATCTTTGCACTTATGTTCTGATGATTGTGTAAGGGTGCCGTGGTGCTGGCGGATGCTGTTGTGGCTCCATCCTCTGGCAGCGAAGCGACTCCGATGGCTTCTCGCTTCTTGTCCTCCAAAATTTCGATGGGTGGATTCTTCTTGATGCCTACTTGCTCTGGCATGATCGCGACGTCAGGATCAATCGGATACTCGGACAGAAATTCATTGGCAGAAGGTGCCTGGTGTAGGCCCAAGGACTCCTCGATTCCACGCAGAAACGCTATTTCGTCTGGATCCACGCGAGATTCTTCTTCTCCCTCGTCTTCTTCCAAACTGGCGGCAATTCGACGAAGAAAGTCTTGTTCTTCCAATTGAGCTTGTTCACGAGACACCATTGCATCATTGTCATTGTCCACAGGATAATCGGAACCTTGCCAATGCTCATCATCGGCTTGGCTGGAGGAGGAGGAAGAACTTGGCGCCATTTTTTTTCGCCTCTCTCACGCCAACACACCAGCAAAGCTCACTCCAAGTCTCTCTTGGCTGTTCAATACCACCAATATCAGTAGCTAGCCAGAGCTAGAATGGATGGATAGACCAAGCGCTTAGCAAGGGAGGATGAATGACAATTGAAATTGATGGAGGATGTGGCGATCGAGGTCGCTTCGATCCATCTCCCGCCATTTTGCGGGCTGCTTCGGCCGCCGTCTGACGAACCTCACGTGATTTGGGAATTCAATCACGAGAGTTCGGACAGTTTTGGCCTTTTTTAGATACTGTGTTTCGGAAGATACTCTCTTGCAATCCTCCAGTGGCTAGCTCGAGCAAACAGCTTTGTACCGGTATCTCTGGATATGCTTTGCAGAGGACCTGAATATGATTTACAGAGGGCCTGAATGATGTGACCTTCGGTGGGTGTGAGCACTCGTCCTGACCACAAAGCGATTGGAAGGCCTCTCACACTCGCAAGCAAAACTGGAGGCAGCGGCAGTGGTCCGTTCTACAAGCACTTATTACATGACTAACTATTCTATAAAACAAATATACTCTTCTTTACACAACTCCAGATGTACTCGTTTGTCTCCTGATCCAAGATACTGAAAGTGGAACCGATGGGTGTGACGCTTTTTCGTCCACTTGTTTAGCTCTGTCATCTGCTTGTGCCACTCCAATTTCGTGGTGAGGGAGTCACATAGGAGGACGTGCAGGGTGTCTTCATCTTCAAGTCCACAGTGTGGGCAGTTGCTGTGGTCTTGCCACTTCCTTTGGAGTTGCATGTGGCCAAGGCCGCAGTGTCCCGAAGCGTGTTTGGTAATCCACCGTTGTGTCCCAAGGGGGCTTCTTCGAAAGGCCCGGCCATGGGCAGTCCAGTTCGTGCATTGCCATTTGTCATTCCATTCGTCCTCAGAGTAGTCAACATCTGGATCCCACTCTTCTCGTTGCTTCCAATGGGCTTAGACAGGAGCTTCTCCAAGTAGCTTATGAACCTCTCTGAGGTGGAATCGCGTGAGTTCTGCACCCTTGAACTTGACCCTCACATGTTCATGGGTGAACGTGATGTTGGGGCAGGGGGTGAACTGGTGGAGATCCCAGTGTGCTTTTGCCATAGTGTCCATCTCAATGTTAAGGATTGCCCATTGGTCCAGGCACCCATGATGAACGTCGTTGCCATGCAGAAGCTCCGGTGGAGTCCCTGAGTGGGTCTCTTATCATCATCCTGGTGCCCCTTCACCCATTGGAACATAACTTGCACCTTCATCTTCCGGAGTTGCTTCAGAATTGCTCTGCCTTCCACACAAAGATCATAGTCCCTTAAAATTGTTGCTGGTTGGCTCAAAGATGGATTCCTGTGCTTTCAGTGCCACTTGGCCGTCGCATCCTATAATGATCTTTCCACTACCGGTAGGGAGGTCGAAGCAGTGCACCAGTGTTCAGGTCGTCATCATCACAGCCACCAGCCCTGCCAGTTCACTGAAAGTGGAACCATGAGTGCAGCTTCCAACCATTGTCTCGAGACAAGCGTCGGATCGAGTCTCAGCAGTATCTTGTTCTAAAATATGGGGCGCAAAAGAGAACAACCAAGAGACAGAAGGCGGGTGATGAGGCCAAGTCTGGTCATGCATACTTATACAGTAGTTAATCCTGCGAGGGTTCGAAATGAGTTGGGTGGAAGCGACCCTTGGAGTGAGATCTTTTTGAGAAATTCGTACCAGGTAGGTTTTATGCAGATAGCCTGGGTACGTCCGGTATGCAAAGCAGCTTCCTTGGCTATTTTAAAATAACATCCTTTGGAGCCGTCACACCACGTTCGGCAGGATTGCAGGAGTGTTTGTCATCTACCAGCAAGACCAGCCAAAGATCCTTGGATCTTCTTGGGTTTCACCAGATGCAGACCGCCCTTCCTTTCGTGTTCTCCCAGGTCCTTTTGTTTGGGACACATAGAACCCTGTGAAAAGGGCTAGTAATAGCAAGGATCCAATGGCTTGTTCAAGAGAGATATCAGTGTGGCAAGCTTAGTTTTTACACCGCTGGAAAATAGGTGAATTTGTTGGGTAGAGGTAGTTATGTTGATCATTTTTCCGACATCAACAATGATGGACCATCACACCACCAATAGTAGACGCCTTGTCTTGTTGGCATTCTTTCTCGGTGCCTTGGGTGGCTTCCTCCTCTCCAACCTTACGAGACCAGTCCCCAAGCAGCAGGAACGAGCCCATCGTTCCTGCAACCAGATTGAACTCGAAAATGACGACGTCCTCTTGCCTCCCAGTGGATTCTCTACTTCGGCTCTTTCTTCCATGGAAAATGGGCTCTACTCGTTGATGGAGTACAGTGATAGTGACCTGCACGACGTCTTCTACATTACGTTGGCCTTTGACGACGATACCGCCGAGCGCTTGAAGGTCGAAGGTTTTGAACGTTTTGAAGGATTAAAGAGAAAGAATGACACCGTGGCTATGCATTCCCTCGTCTTTTACTTGGCCAACTCGACGTATCACTCGGTATGTATCGGCTGCTTGGCATGGCTGTATAGCATCAACAACTCAGAATGTAGCAACATCTCACACTTTGTTCATTTGCTCTGCGTGGTCACCCAATAGCTACAACTTTTTCACGCCCACGACAATGCCACTGGAGAGGACAGCTTTGACATGTCGCTGCATGGTGATGGCAGCTATGATGTGCTGACTTCTGGAAATCCCAAGGAACGACGCCTCTTCTTCGAGAAGGCTTCCAAACCAACCAAGGGCAAAGTCATGAATGACATGCGCCAACTGTTTATAAAGAAAGCGTTCAACAAAGTCAAGAACACTGGCAAGAAGGGGGTGAACGCGGCGTCATCTTCCGTCAGTAAACTTGAAGGTGAAGTGAAGAAATTGAAGGACAAGGCGAAGAAGCTCACAAAAGAAGTAACAAAGCTCAAGAATAAGATTTCGAAGCTCCAGAAAGCCGCCAAGAAAGCAGCCTCCAAGTTTGAAAAGGAGATGAAATCTATGGCCAAAAAGCTTGAAAAGGCTACAAAGTTCATCAAGTCGTTGCCCGATAAGATTGACGACATCGTCGTGGAACCCATTGTCAAAGACATCAAAAAGGCAGAAGACGGCCTTAAAAAGATCGATGATATCGCAAAGACGGTGGCTAAGTCAACAATTAAGGTCATCAAGGATTTGCCATTTCTTCCTAGCAGTGGAGACGAGCTGGGCAAGTTTTTGGCCAAAGGATTTAAGGATTTCATTGGTGGAGACTTCTGCATCCCATATGATTGCATTGCCAAGTTGGTCGGAATTGATTTCAAGGGCGTTGAGCTAGCGGATGATGATGGTCTTTCTATAGGCACTGGCATCACACCCAAGTCTTGTCTTCGCATCGCTGAGATTGAGTTTGACACGAGTAAGCTTGCTGACTTCCTTGATATCTTCAAGAACTTGGAGGCATTGGAGGAGATCTTTGAGAAGGTCTATGACTTCATCGAGGACCAGATGAAGCAAATTCTGGGTTTCTCGGATGAAATCTTGGGTGTCCTCGAAGACATTGAAGGTATCGCGAAGGATGCCTATAAAGAGATCAAGAAGCTCATACCAAACCGAAGGAGGCTGGTCAAGGCTGAAACTGGAGATGAAGTCACAATGGAAGAAGCATCAGCAATTGCCTACCAAGAAGGAGTGGCCAAATTCCATGAGCTGTGGGGTGAGCATGTCAAGCAGGTCTTCCAGGACCGCCAGCTAGAAGAAAGGGGAGCCCAATACATTGGATTCGAGAAATTGGTGCTGGAGGTCAAGCAAGACTTCGGCCAAACCTTCTATTTGGAAACTTCTGGCCGGCGTGGGTACGCAGATAGCGTCTTTGATGAGTCCATACACCAGACAGCAACTGTTCCTGTTCCTCTTACTGGTGGCATGGTGAAGATTGTTGCCAGTGGGTCCATGAAAGCTTCCATGCCGTATGCAATGGCCATGGAGGCACAAGCCTCAGCAGAATTTGGGTACAACCTGGGTGAGATAACGGTATCCGTCGATCTCGTTGAAGGGAAGATTGACTTCAAAAAGAAGGAATTCAAAACCAGCATTGATGTCGATGCTTCAGTTGGAGTTTCTGCTTCAATGTCCTTGAACTTTGCCGTTTCCACGAGCCTGGGCTTGTGTCTCGGCCCAACAGAGGATGCTTGTATCACAGTCGCCGTTGATGCCGGTCAGACATCGGCTGCAGGATTCGACGCGGTTGCATCTGTGGGCACCGGAGGAAATCCTCATCCTTTAACAACAATGTACACAGATGTCCTAGAGTACGAAGAGCAGCCATCGTGTGACAACAAGCAGCTCTCCTTGAAAGCTGGGTACTGGCAGTATGTGATGAGTCCTTGGGCAGTCGTATCGATCACTGGAAAGGCCGGTTGCATTGACGAATCCGCTGTCCTGTTTGAGATCGAAGCTGATGTCCTCCAAGACGAAATCGACAGCTTTTGCCTCTCAACCAATATCATCTAGGGGCTGACACAAAACGAGGACAGCAAACACAGCAAGAATCAACACCAACAACAATTGCTCTGTTTGCATGCAGCACAACTCCTTGGGGGCTTTGAACGACCAATGGGAGGGATAGATAGAAAGGAGTAGTAATGCATTGCATTAGTATTGTTTCAATGCTGTAGTGGTATCCGAGCCTTGCTGTGCAACGGTTCCTGGACCCTGTGATGGAGGCAGATGCCGGAATTAATTAACAAAACAAGATTGATCAACAAACAAAAGACTGTCATTGTCGCTTGCTCCTGCCTGCCGTGCCCCAGTGCGGACACAACGGCCACGCAGAGCTGCTTTGCTCTTGGCGCATCACATCACATCACTTACTTTTTATAACTTGGGAGAATACGATTGGCTTTCATGTTTATCAGTCGGTGGCCGCCCCTCGTTGGCCCTCTCTTAACCATGATCGTGGGATTGATTGAATCAGAACCAACAAAGGATGCAATTAATAAAATTGGTTTGGATATTTTGTTGCACGAGAAGTGTAAAACTGAACTTGTTGTTATAGCGCTAGTCTACTGTTTTTTCCTCTCTAACGGTTAAGAGAGGGTAAACAGTCCTCTCCGACTCGACTCTGACTCTCCGACGCACGAAACAACCTCTTCGGGCGAAGCAGTCAGTTCCAGCCATAAATTCAACAATCGAAACAGCGGAGCTATGCCCTTCCATGGCATGACATTGTCTTGACCATGACAATACCTCTTCGTCATCGCTGGCAATGATATCGCTTCCTCCAAGAACCACATGATGTTCTGCACGAGAGAGAGTCAAGTCGCACTAGGTTGTCAATCAATACAACATACAACAAACAACAAGGGAGAGAGAAGGAACGGCGGTGAGGCTGTCCTCTGAGAGTCATGCTCCCGCCATGGTGCTGTTATGCTGTTGACCCCACAGCGGCGCGGTGTGGTACCGGTATATCATAAATACGGTACGTACAGAGCACAGACCTTCAAATGACAGCTTCTCTGGCTTCTTCCGGAGGTTCCAAGCAACGACGAGAACTCATTTTCCGTTTGTTGTCATTGTTGTCAACCAGAGCATTCATTCCTGTGTCTTTCATCGATCCTTGGCTACAATCATGTCATTCTTCTCAATGTTCAATCCATCGTATCTTGGCCGCTTGCATGAGCGACGGGAATCTCTCCATTCAGGGGGAGTGCCTTTTGATGTGATTGATTGTGTGACGGAGCTGCGCACGCTGGATGTTGACATGTCCCATTTGAACCCAAAGGAAAAAGAAAACTTTCTAGTCTATCTTTCAAGCTTGATTACTGCCTCGCCTGAGCTTGAAACGTTCAAGTTTGACATCGCCTTGGTTTCGAAGTATGTTCGTGGGCATGGTTTTCCCATGTTTGTCCCCATCCCGCATTTGGATTGGAATGTCATGGCTTCGTGTCCCAAGCTCAAGATAATTCATTGCCGACTCGCGGACGATTGTGATGCTTCCACGCTTGGAGAAATCATTTACCTGTGCAAGAGCCTCGAGCAACTCAGCATTGTTTGCGCAGACGCTAGAGACTTCTATTATGAACCCACCTGTTGGCATCGAGACCCCGTTCCCAACCGCGAATTTGAACCTATCTATTCGGCGATGAAAAATCACCCAATGCTCAAAAGCTTCATTTTGCTTGGAAAGGAAGGTGGGCGAGGAAATGGCTGCCTTCATCTGCCAACGTTGATCTTGGATTTACCGAACCTCGAATCCATTGAATTCAAACGACTAAGCTTCCCTGCACACCACTGCAAGCGCATCACAGCTGCTGTTGAGGCCCATGACAACTTGAAGAGATTTGAAATAGACACTGAGTATATTGGAACACAAAAAGAAACATCCTTTGAAGATTTTCTTCTTGATTGTCGTCTTGATCTCACTGAAAAAGAGACTGAGTCTATCGGAATACACAAAGAAGGATCCTTTGATGATTGTCTTCTTGATCGCATTGTCAACAAGCTGGCCATCAATCGGGCGAACACCATGCTCAGTGACAATCCCACCTTTCGGAATTGGGTGGTGACCTTGACGGCCTTTCGTCATTACCCAGCTGTCGTCGATTACCTCATTTACAAGGGGGTTCCTGGCAGTGGTGGTGCCATTTTGTTGGCTGATGGTGCCTTGGAAGGATTGAAGGCCCAAGAAAAGAAAAAGGATGAGGAACAAGAGTTGGGAAAGCGAATCCAACGCTGCCGTCGATCCCAAATCACAAACACACCACACACCAAATTGCCTGATCCATTTCACCGATAGAGTCGTCTCGGTGCCCCACACCAAAGCAGCATACTGTCCTGGGCATCGGCATGAAATGCATCCAATGGGAAGCAAATAGCAAGAAGGAAGCAACCAATTGTTCTAGCAGAGCAGCCCAAAGCCCACTCAGACTAAATATTCCAGGACAGTATTATTTCTACAGCAGTGCTCTGATTGGTTTTGCTGTAGTCCTTCTTGTAGGCTTCTCCCAATGCTGTAGCTTTGGGTGCCTTGAGGAAAAGTGGCTGTTGGCATTCATGTTGATGATGGACAGTTGTCACAATGTCGTCACTTTGCTTTTGTGGTCGTTATTGTAGGGGTGGCCTGCAGTGTTCGTGGAATAGAAGGCAAGCAATGGCAAAGGCTTGTTGGTGGAAGCACAGTTTCCAAGGAAGCATGTTGGGGCGATCCCATGGCAAAGCATTGGGCATTGGATTGGGCAGCTAAGCATCGGAACCTTGGGAAGCACCAAACGACAATTCAGGGCAATGCTGCCAACTCTCTGCGCTAGCTAGCTAGGGCAATACCGAAGGATTACTGAGCAGACCAACTGCGACCTGTGCTTCATTCTTGTGTTTTTCTCTTCCTTCCTCCGGTGCCTCTTTCTTGCCAAGTGGCTGTACAAGTTCTCGCAAAAGACAAATCAAGGCTATCACTAAGATGCTACGGTATCTTGTAAGTCTCAGATTGGCTCCATCTGTAGTTGATGTGCCATGTGATCTTGCGCATGTGCATAGTTGGGGCATTCGGTTCCCTACCGTCACTACGGTATCTAGCTAGCTACTAGAGCACAACAGCACTTCTGCGGACGTGTTTGGTATCCCGCAAGATCAAAGCACATGTATTATTTTTGGCGAACCCTTGCTTTGCTGTTTGCTTCCTTTCCAAAAGACTCTTACGGTAGCTTTTTTATTAATAACGTTGTGAAACCACATGCTAGCTAGCTAGAAGAAGTATCACTCTCAATGCGAAGGCGCCACTTGGCTGTTCCGATTCGATTCGATTCGATTCGATTGTGGCTCTGCAATAACTTGGCTCAGTCGGGCCTCGAGGCGTGGGCTCGACCATGCATGCAGCGCTTCATTCGTCGTTCTCACAATTCTATTTCATAGATACAAACCAACAACGAAAACAACGAAAACACCTATCCATTCAAGCAACCAAAGATGCGTATTCTGAGTTTGTTCAAGCTGTGCTTCTTCCTGGGGATATTCGGCCTTACGAGCGCCAGAGTTTCAGCCAGGAACCGTCTTGATGAAGCACAGCGCACCATCCCACGTGGCCAAGCACAGCATTCCTTGAGACGAACCCAAGCTTGCGATCCTCAAGCCATGGCAAATGTGATCTCTGCCCCTGGATCTCGTCCTGGGGGTGCCGCTGGTGGACCGCAGGTGCCTTGCACCGAGCAAAATGAGGAGTCCGCAAGCCCCGAGCAAAATGAAGAGTCCGCAAGACAAGATCAAGATCCACCTCTTTGTGCCCCTGGCTTTTCCTGCTGGGAAAATGATTCTGGCCTTCTTTGGGCAAAGTACAACGGCGAGGCCAGTGGCATGGACTGCAATGAAGTGTGCTTCACTGCCTTTTCTGGGAACCCCATGTTCCACACTTGCAAAGAGGGTGTTCCTGCACCAAGCACCATCAATGGTCTTACTGCAGTAATGGATGGTCTGGGCTTTGACTGCAGAGGCAACCCCAACAAGCCTAATCCATGTTGGGGAGGCATGTCCCCACCTACTCTTGGCGGAACCATCCTCATTTCTGCAGGCGACCAAACATCCAAGAACTGTTATGTGCCCACTGAAAGCACACTTAGTTGTGGTCAGGTGGTGGATGGGGCCAACTGTTATGGAGAGCTGTTCTCTTCTGTTTGTCCTTGCATGGAGGAGGAACTTTCCACAATCACAGTATCTAAGAAGTGGCGTTTGTACACTCATGGCAACTACCCCAAGACCCAACAAGCCAACAATGGATGGCAGTGGGACCTTGACTCCATCTTCTTCTACACTTCTTCCGACTGCACTGGAACCGCACTGAATACAACAGACGGGACAACCATTACAGACTCGGGCAATGCTGGTGAGTTCTGGGGGCCCGAGAAGGCCTTTGGTCAAACTGGTGGAAAGTGGGGAGGCCGGTAAGTCAACGAATTTTCTGTTAACAATGATTCAAATGTTCCTTAGGGCTCACATCATGATGTCACTCTTTTTCTGGATCTCTCAGCTGGGACAATAACGTGGACAAGAATCTGTGGATTGCGATTGAGTTTCCCACTGCTGTGAATGTGGGCTGCATCCAGTTTGATCAATTTGACAATTATGCCACGTACATCGCGGTGGAGGCAGTTGCAGCTGGCAGCACAACCTGGGAGAGAGTCAACTTTGTGACAGATGGCCAGCAGAACAGGAACACCATCCAAATGTAGGATGCCGTCGATAGGTTTCACGCACCTGTTTTGGGGCACCCCGCTTGTTCACTAGTAGATTGAGACGCAATACATAAAATAGACAACCAATGAGTGCGAAGTTGGCAATGGCTAGCGGACAGAATACCGGTACGCCCTTGTGCCTCTATCTCCTTCTTCGTTGATTCTTGCTAGGGCAGCCAGCGTTGCCTTTCGTTGCAGGATACCGTTGCGACCACGCGATTTGTGAACTACCGCGACGGCTTGGCACGCACGGTTTCCGTCAGACAGGACCGTCCAAGTCCTCCCGCCCCAGAGCTAGGCACAAACCACCATTCCAAAGTCCCAGGGAATCCACCTTGGGGATGACATAGTATTGGGACTTGCGAAGCATTCGCAAGTTGGTTGGAGAGAGCTAACTAGATCGACACCCACGTTGCTGCCATTCCATGGGGTAGCCAGAGTGATGTTTCGTTGGTCGACGATTTGATTCCATTCATTGGGGAACGACTGATGTTGCTTCCATTGACTCGTAAAGTCCCGATGTGTTGGGTGAGCAAGGCGGCAGCGGCACTGTCCTCTTTGATGCCCTCGTTTCTGCCTCGTTTGATCAGCCCAATTGAGCTGCCCCGCTAGCTAGAAGAAGACTAGAGCTGCAAAATGTGTTCCTTGTGCTAGGAAGAGGTTTGTTCCCCATGACTAGCTAGCGTAGAGTTCTGCAGCTTTGACGGCGGAGGAGCAACCTGATTGGACCCACGGAACAACAGCCTCAAATGTCCCAAGGCAGCCGTGTTGCGGCGCCAGGTGCGTGCAATCCCTCCGGAGCAGGCACTAACTTTGCTGACTACCGGTATCGTGCTCAGTCAAGGCGATTGTCGGGTGGAAGACGGTTGGTCCGTAGTTTGGCTCTATTTTCTTTGTTGGTAGTGTCGATGCCGGTATTGGCACCATCCCAGATCGTGTAACAAACAGGGATCTAGCTAGCAGTAGCATTAATTTGTAAATAGCAGAGAAGAAACCAATTAGCGACTTTTCCCCCCATGGTGTAGTTGTTCAGTAATCTAGATTGTCTTACCTTGTCCAGTACGACAGCTGAGACTTGACTCACTTGCAGCTTCGAACGCTTCGCCTCCTTTCATCAGCACTCCGAGCCTTGCCCCCACGCCAGTCCCGACCATTATGGAGGTACGGTACAGCCAGCCCGAGGGCGCAAGGACAACTAACTGATGACGAGAGTTGCTATCCCAAACATTAAGCTGAAAGTAGCGGCTGCCGGCTGTACCACTCTTCAGGCACAAAATCGTGTAGACTTTCTGTCCCCATTATTTATTTGCACGTCGATGGATCGATCTTCTACGAAAGTACTCCCCTGCAGCCTGGTCTCGTACCGTAGGGGGGTGCTTTGAATAATCGAGAGATTCGCGGGTACGGAATGCTGTTTGTCGTGGTCCTCCTTACGAATCTTGTTGTTGTTCTTGTGTGCTATTATTGCGTGAAGGCCAACACGTGTGGGTCTTGGCGGCGGCGGCAGTCTGATTATTATTGGTGGCAGCTGTGGCACGCAAATGAATGGCATATTTGGAGGCACGGCCTTGCCAATTGCACTTGCTGCAAAACTCCGTGTCGGGACAATCGCTGCAGGTAGCAAACGTAGTGGCTTTTTGCGCCAAGAGGAATTCCCAAATGACCAAGAAGACTTCGTCGGGAACATCCGCCACCGCATCCCCCAAGACTTGTTCCAATTTGGTGAATCCACTATCCAACAACAATTGGAGGGACGGATAGGATGTATTGCGCGACAATTTCGCTTCTCGGGCGACACCACCCCATTGCAATTGGGGTACCAAACTGAGGGGTGACAGTAAGACAAAATGGTGAATATCGTCTTGTTTGGAGATCAAATCACGCGCTTCCAAAATGGCCTGAGCACACGGAAGATAATCTTCGTGCATGAGTTCGGGACGCCATTGGAGGGCGGCATAGGGTGTTCCCGGTGGCAATTGGAGGGAGCGAGTCAGGAATTGTTCCACTTGGTGCGTATGATAGTCTTGAAAATGAAGGAGGTGTTCACTGTCGATGCCCAAGGTATCCTGTATCAATTGTTTCGTTGTGTGATCCTTCCAAAATCGAAAGGCGCGGCGGGTAAAATTGGGAATTTCGAGTAGGGTAGGGGAGTGGCGGCTGTTGCGAATGGCCGCTTCCAACACGGGTTGTTGTCGTTCTTGCCACGTCGATGGTATTTCGTGGGTGGCCTTGGTGCGAGCGGTGGAATCTCCTCCTTTGGCAGTACTACCGGTATACTGCTGGAATGTACAGGACGATTTTGCCTTGACGAGACAGGCATGATACGTATTGTTGTTGTAAGGATGACGGCGGATATCGAGAACTTGATTTTTGGTATTGTAGTGGTAACCTGTGGCTTTCTCGAACTCCTCGTACGATACGACATGCGGATAGATTTGCCGCACCCGTTCCAAATCGTAAATTTGTCCCATCCGCAAGGCGGTGCCATGGCGACACGATTGCAAGCGTCCATTCTTGATGCAGGGTTCCACCAAGGTCCCATTGGCGTATTTCGCGAGAGATAAAAGAGATGTAAAGGCAATCTTCCACGACGCCAAGCCTTCGGCAAAAGTCGCCACGTGAATCCACAGATTCGGACGTGGTCGGTCAGCGGCCAACAGCTTGGCGGGGGGAATGACGATCAATGGTGTTGTTGTGGTTGTTGATTCTTTGGATTGAATTGGTCTTGACTTGTTTGCTGCTACATGTATTGCGATGGAGGCTACTTCCGACTTGTTGTTGTTGTTGTTGTTGCTGGGATTCCAATAGTCCTTCCAAGTGCCCAGCAGCCGTCCTAGAATCGCATTGTCCTGGTAATCCACAACCACAGAGATCAGTGCCAGACACAGCACTATCACAAGCATTCGAGAGGAGTTGAGAGAGCGAAACATCTTCACTGTTGCTGCTAGCTAGTTTATGGTGCAGTACGGTAGGTGCGGCAGAAGTTGTTGATTGACTGACTGACTACATGAATTCAATCAAGAACGGAGGTCCTTGTAGCTGTGCTTTCTCCTTTCTCCTTTCTCGATTACTTGCCTATGCCATGGCAATCCAGGTACTAGTACCTAACCAGGAGGCACACGGTGTTGCTTCGTTGCTTCTCAGCCAAATTCTCCAGGAGCCATGCAATGTTGGCGGATGGGGTTGGATCTTTTCAGCTCAGAGATTGGCATTCATCAACGTTGCGGCGGATGTAAACATCTTTCTGCCGCCTTGAAGCCCACGAGATCTTTCGCATGCGCCATGGCCGCAATGCATGGTCGCCTTCATGGTCATGGTCGGTATGTTGTTGCCCGGAAAGCTATCATACCTTCTTGTCACCCATACTCACTCGAGAGTTTTGCCGTGTCGAACTGACCCGGTCCTCTGAACGACGAGAACAAGCCATCGGTGACGGGCAATCCACAGCATGGTCTCTTCCTGCAATGTCGAACCAAGAGAAGCTGTACAGACTTCAGGCAGCTTGATCGTCGAACAAGCCGAGTACTGTAACCAGAGGCTCGAGAGAATATAGAAGCGGCTCGATCATGCAAATAGCAAATCTACAGAGCAGTGAGGATGCTGAAGCCAGGTCTGCTGCCATGCTGCCACGTCGAGCCAAGAGCATGAGCCAATGCTCAACAACTTGCCCCAGCCTAATACCGTAGGTGGCCTCGACCCCAGCACTGGAGTTTCCACAACAGCCAGCCCCAGCACAGCAATCCCTTCACTAGCCAGCCAGCCCGACACTGACAAGTACACAACAGTTTGCCCCAGACAGACAGACAACACTTGGCCGCAGCAGCTGCCGCAGCACCCTTTTTGCCACCCAATTTGGACCTACCAGCAAGCAGCTGCCGGCCGTGCGCTTTACCTTCTTGCCTCCAATCCATCCCCTCAACACAATCTACATGCATCTGTCGCCTACACATACATACTGTCACTCGACTCGACTCACAAGGCCCACTACGTTGGCTTGCTTCTTTGAGAAGAAAAACAATTTCCTTTTGGTAAACACGAGACGCAAGGACGAACGATTTCTAAAGGGACATTGGCACGTGTGTGATCCGACGATGGCTTCATCTATTTGTGGTTACATTTTTCATTGTCATGATGGACTTGACTGCTGCATGCATGCCAAGAGTCCTACTAGGCGTAGATGCGGCAACAACCGCTGGATCAAGAAAGCAGCGGCAATGACACGGATCATCGATCGATCCGAACGACGACAAGAACCAAAAGGAACAGCGCGACGATCGAGGAAACGGAGCAGCACCCACAAGAGTGATGGAGGCCACATGCTGCAAAAAAGGAGACCACAACGACACAGTTTACAACACAACCGTAACTAACTAACTGCGATGGGATGGGAACGCTTCGAACCGCAATGGCATGAACAAGAAAGTCACAACAAACAGAAACAAACAGCGACATGGATAGACAACGAGAAAGAAGCTTGGCATGATCCGCCGTCGCATGACAATTACGACAATCACATGCAGCATTCACGTCAGATCTGGAATGCGTCGGCAGCCACCAGAATCTTGAGCCGAACGAACGAAGCCAACCAACCGAAAGGAGCAACCACTATTGACGGACGCAGATGAAAGCACACCAGCAGGAACGAGAGTGATGACGACATGGTCTGTACAGGAGGACCATGCCACAGCATGCCACGGACCAAGCAGCAATTTCCACACCGACAATCCACTTGTTCTCGTTTCCAGATCCTTCCAGGACATGCCGCCACCGTCATCGTTCTCTCATGTCAACTCTTTGCCGTGCACCGGAAAAACACTTACCCCATGATACATTGCCGAGGCTGCATCGTGCTTGACCACCGCATCATCATGGTGGAGCGCTCGGTGGCGGCGTGTGATGTGCAAATCGATGGCACGCCTCGAGCGAGCGATGGAACCAGCGGAGGAACCTCCGCTCGACGGGAAAGTCACAAGGAAGGATCACACCGCCGCTGTATTTACGGTGTTCCGTTTCCATCCTGGGGCGGCATCTGGTCGAGTGTCGTCGTCAAGATCCAACGCTGCCAAACAAATCAACCGCGATGGCCGTACAACGAAACCAACACACAGTGCCGACCAGAGAGATGCGACAGGAGTAGGAGCTGAGAGCAGCACGCACTTCCAACACAAGTGCCTTCCTGCAGTGCTCACGAGCAAACACAGGCCCAACGCGCACAGCGCCATCGGCGGTACTGCAGTAGCAGGATTATGGATGCAGGGGTCGACGACGTCTCAGCACAAACGACGTCCGCGAGTTCGACAAGAGAGCAAAGCTTCGGCAGGAACTCAATTCGTGAGAGGAAATCCCGCAAGTGCAAAGCTGTCCTTGGTCTTTGGCTGTCTATCGATGGTGCATCATCGAGGTAGGAGTCGGCTGTGGAGTGGCAGAACTCTGCGTTGCCAAGCGATGAATCAAGGCATCCCTTCCCAACGAGTGGGTCTGGTGTGCCCTCATCTACTGCGCATCAGATTTACCATGTTGTCTTTGTTGGCGATGAACAGTGGAGTCTTCCACTCAAAGAGCCAAATTTTGTTTGGACACCTTGTGGAAATTCGGCAGCGGAAGAAGCAGTCAAGAATCTCTCTGTCTCTACTCTGGCTTCGGCTGCCATCCATCATCATCATCGCATCGACACGATGCTGTTTTCTCTGCATGGGATCGGACTTGTCGTCGTCGCTGCATTGCGCCTTTTCTGGACACGCGAAAATCTACGCTTGGGACATGGGATACACTTTAAAATCTCTAAGGAAATCTATTCATCTTTCTATTTACTACACTTCTATTTGTTTCCCACCAGCTGACATTTGCACGGCATCGCATATTTCCCGCGCATCTTTTCTAGCGCTGGTTGTGCGACACGGAACCAGCTGGCGACGCATCATCAATCGAATCGAACAGGCATCAAACGAGTAGTCAATTTCATGGTAGACAGATGACAGCGCGCAGATGTAATGCGTATCCTCTGGATTCATGTTTGGGAGAGACGCAGGGGATGCATGCATCAAAGACGCGCCGATGTTGGGACTGCTGCAGGCGATGGAGTAGTCGTTTGTTGGTTGTGATGATTCGATTCTGTTTCTTCTGTGGTCGCTGTGACGTTGCGTTGGGAGAAGCAAGTGTATTGTAGTTCGTCTTTGGATTGTGTGTTGTTGTTGGAATTGGTGTAGAAGACGTGAACACCACGTTGTTGTTGGGGTGAATCGAATCGCACGTACCGATTTCACGTCGACACGAGAGGTCGTTTCACTCGGATCTTCTTCTACTGGACCAGGGACGGCAGCCTGTTTTCATCATGGCATGTTTTCACTCCTCACGCACTAGTCTGAACCACGAGGAGCGAGCTAGGGACCATCGTCGAGTCAAAAAGGCTGCTCTTGTTGTCGTGATGAGATTCGACCGGTCGTGCTAGTCACCTCCAGCAGGTGGATTCTTGAGTCTCTGTTGCGCCTCGTGGCTACGCTTTGGCAAGATGGATGGATCGATTGATTGATCTGTTCCTGTTTGGCCTACTCGCATTGGCACAGCGATGAACAGGAGTACCGCGAAGGAAGGAAGGAACGACGGTGCTCCAACGTCGGGTTTGACACGAAGGGTTTGGTGAACAGCTGTGGCTGGACGGCTGTGTGACGATAGACAGCAGTTTGAAGTAACAGTGGCAACCCAATCCAATCCATGGAGCTGCCCTCGTTTTTGTCCCGTACGTGCCATTGACCTGTACCGCGAGCCATCTGTCGATGATCTTGGTGGGATGGTTCCGCGAGAAGCTGCAAGAGAGCTCCAGAGAAACTCCATCGATCGGAAAACTCTCAACGCGAAAATGCTCGCTTCTCAATCATTCAGTGCTGCCTTGTATGCTGTTTCCGTTTCATCTTTGTTGTTGTGTGGCGACGACGTACATCCGCTGTCCTGTGGGGTGGGGTGATTTGCCGGAGAGGGCCTTGGCTGATTTGTTGGCCTTCTTGCGGGGGTGGATTCGATTCTTTTGCGAGTGATGGATTTTTTTCGTTCGTTTGGGACACACGGGTTTGTGATCGGACCCCGAGCTGTCAACGAGAGCTTCTTCGTCTTCTATCACGGTCCCAACTTGTTGAGAGTAGCCCATGAAGGACTCGGAAAAGAAGGAGTCTCCGAGATTGGAAATGGTCAAACTGGACACGAAATCTGCTGTAGGAAAGCTTGATTTGATGGCCTTCGTTTGCGTTGCGGCTGCTGTAGGAGAAGGTGTGGGTTGTCTTGTTGGGTGTGGTGTGGGGGCTGACGTTGGTTGGAGAGGGCGTTGGCGCCACAGATGGGTTGAATGTTGAGGGCTTGCAGCCTGGACTACGCACCCGCAGCAGTTGTTGGGCCCAAAGTTGTTGGACTTTCCGTGGTACACACAGTAGCGAGGCTTCCCGTACAGTAGTGGTCCTGGTGTATGTTGGCTGAAAGGTTGCTTGCTTGTGCTGGGGCCGCAGTTTTCTGGGCGCCGCTTGGATATCAAGAGAGACTCGACCGTCGAAGATGCAACATGTCTGGCTGGCAGAACGTTGACTCAACAAAGCAACTATCATTGTCTACGCACGTGAGCGGGCGACGATTGATCGTGCGAGACAAAGTTGCTGTCGATTCTTAGTTGGGAGGCGATGATCGAGGGACCCCGTCGAAATTGAGCTGCGTCTTGATGCCGCAACAATCCGTGGCAATGGCTCGTTGTTGCCTATAGAATTGTCTGCTTGTACACCATGCCAATCTCTCTCCTCTACCAGCACACCGACAATAGCATGGCGTTGTCAGTCGATACCATCTCAGGCGCTCGACCTGTTCGGTTCCAAGCATGAGGACATGGTATACAAGAACAGTCTCCGTTTTCTCGGCAGATCGCAGCTCGAGAAGCAGAAGCAGAGACCGCAGCTCAGATACATCATGGCCGACGGAGCCATTCTTCATCACTCCAACATTGACTTGGACTTATAAGGGACACTGGAGTATATATAGCGTAGACTCGACTCAAGCACTTGCGAAAGGACAGCCGAGAGGGACCCGGAGGAAAATCGGAGGGGGTGCGGAAGACATGCCGCGGGATTTCCTTGCTTCCAGAATTCTTCTTGCGTTCATCTCATACGGTAGGAGCCTTGAGATGGGAGAGTACTTTGACTGGGATCAATTGAGAGAGCGCGGATGGGAGTTTCGGCAGTAGAAGAGGCGAGAGGCATGTCTTGGTGGAGTCCAAATCCTCTGTTGGATGGAGTGGAGGCAGCGCTGTCCGAATTCCTCTGCTGCCGAATCCTTGTTGAGCTCATGTCATTGAACTCTGGATTAGGAGAGTCCGTTGTCCTAGCCTAATAGAGAAAACGCGGAAAGGATTCTGGGTACTCGTAGTGAAGGGGACGGGAGACACTTGGTGGGGTCCAAATCCTCCCAAGATCGGACGCATACCCAAAACGACCTGCTGCGGTCATCATCATTTCATGCATTCGGTAAGAGCTCCGGCATGGTAGAGTCGACTGTGCTGTAGCAGGATAGACCTTGCGGACAAGATGCAATGGTCAGATCCACGAGAGAAGCATCCCAGGGTCATCATCTGAGCGGATATTACACCATGTCATGGTCGAACGGCATCAACAACAAAACAACACGATCGATGAAGCCGCTGCGTATGTGCGCACGTGTATCTTTGTTGCAGAAGATCGCAGCCTTGATCCTGAATTCTTTGATGCCACTTCCTGTGTTTCACTTTGCAAATTACAAATTGGGGCTCTAAAGATTGGCCTGCGCATGGGTGGATGCTTGAAAGTTGAGCGTCGAGGCAATCATTGTTCAATCGATGCTCCGGTGTAGCTAGAAAGGGCGGTCATGTCATGTCATGGGCACATCAGTTACCGGTACTTGGTACCATTGGTTTCATGAAACCTGGATGCGTGCACTCAACCGTCACAAGGAGGGTTTTAAAGCGTTTCTCCTGGAACCGCACGACGCCTTTTGCTTCGGGTGCATCCGTTGCATCCAAGACTTCGTGGATGGCGCGGTCGTCTATCATGACACGTAAATGAGAATGGAATGGGCCCCATGGACTCAACTTGGATAGCACAAGTAGGTTGTGGAAGGAAAAGAGTGTATGGTCAGTAGTTAAAGTTTCATTCTAGCTAGTATCGTAGTTAGCTTCATTCAAGCTAGTTAGTTCTGTCATGGGCACGTATCTACGGTACGTACCGGTAGCATTGACCAATCTTTCCGACGCATGGCTGATGCCATGTGAACGGTACATGTAGTATCTGGATCTGGAGATGAGGCTGTGCCGGAAGCGTTGTAATCTAATCAGCTGTGTAGGCAATGAAGGCACAGACGTCCGTTCTTGCACAATATTCGTCCTCGTCCGTACGAAAAGCAACCGTACTGTTGTGGCTATGATAGTGGCTAGTAGACTACATAATAAGAAGGAATCTACTAGAGACGGTGATCCACCGGCCGGTGTACTGTAATCTCTCAGGCGATGCAAGAAGAGACGAGTCAACTGTCACGACAGACAGATGAATGGAACATGCTGCGTTTGCTGCCGGCACGTATGTGCATCCACGGTCTGCCGCCCCAATGTGCCCTCGCACTCCCCGTTGGAATGATACTAGTAGATACAGCACCGGTACAAGTTGCGCTTAGGGTAAATCTACTAGATAAATCTACTACATCGATCGTACATGGAGTACAGATCCATGAAAGGCCCTCCTGTGCATGTGTATCGAGGATGCGAACGAGCGACATCGAAGGAGAGAGAGCCAAAGTCTTTCCCCTAACTAAGATTGAAACCGTCGAATCCTGGGTGAGACCCCCCATGTCTACCGCACTGACAGGTACCGGTAGCTGGATTGAGACTCCGGCCGCAGCAACTCCGACATCCACGAGCTCAGACCTTCCTTCGGGGAGCTTGCGGACTGCGGACCAGCTTGCGGACCAGCTTGCGGACCACTACTATTAATTAATAGCAAGATCCTGGACCACCAGAGAAGCCTTTGATGACGCTACGAACCGTACGAAACCTTCCCATTTCCACTGTCTTTCACAGGCTCCATCACAGGACCCAGCCGTTGGCTCTCTCTCTCTCTCTCTCTCTCTACGACGGCTACCCTCACAGCATCAGGAACGAGGAACGGGGAGCAGGAGCCGTCCCAGCACCTTCAGCAGCCTCTGGTGGGCTGATCGAGTCGTGGGAAGCCAGAGATTTAACGATAGAACTGGACCGAGATTTAAGAGATCCACGCTGCCTCCATCATGACAACAAAGAGGCAATCAACTGCCAAGATGACGACCATGGAGAGCCAGAACAACCAAACGCGAGCACATACCATCTTCGTTTGATGCCCTGAAGCCCCTACAAGGCGTCTAGAAGGCAGGGATCGTCCATTATTCAAGCTTATCAGAGGCTACTGCTGATCGGTCTCTTTTTGTCAAAATTTCACGACTACAACAGAAACACCCTTCATGTGCCGACAATGGCAACCAAGCCATTCTCCGGCGCCGCAACCACATTGGAACCTTCCTACACATGCTGCGGTTCCTCTGATACCCTTACAAGGCAGCTCCGGTCCATTGTCCCCGAGAAAATACCACTCATCACCAGCCTGATGGAAGAAGACAGAGTCCATTCCCGGTTTTCACCATGGTCGTTTTTCATCAGCTGATTGCAATGGACGGCATGACAATGGTGACAACCTCATTCTGAGCTCACAAATTTGTTTTCTAGAATACTGGAAGACAATACACTCTCGATTAGACGTACGCCGAATCCCTTTCACTCGCTACACTCTGAACGCTACAACACTTACTTACTTACTACTATCTTCTGGAATCCCAAAAGCTCTTCTTTAAGTTTCCACCTCAAACATAAATTGACCATGGCCGAGGCAATGAAGAACGATACTACTACTATCAATAACATGATGAACACGCCCATAGAAAACGCGGCCAACAACAACATCAACAAACCCAAGATGCCAATCATCTTCAACAACCTCAATGACGCCGTTGCCGTCTTGCTTGCTACTCTTGTGGCCATGTCCATGGAGAAGAAAGGACAGCAAGTGAAAGGACGAAAGGTGATCATGTTCCAGCCTCACCACAAGAATGTCGATGGTGACATGGTGTGCGTTGGCGGTGCCGAATTCCCGCTATACAACACCATCAGCACTCCAGCTCAAGTTGCTGCACGACGATTCGTGAAGGCTGTCCGCCCACTCAAGGCAGCCACCACCGTCGTCAAGGTGACCATGTTCCAGCCTCACCACAAGAATGTCGATGGCGACACAGTGTGCGTTGGCGGTGCCGAATTCCCGCTATACAACACCATCAGCACTCCAGCTCAAGTCGCGGCACGACGACTTGTCAAGGCTGTCCGCCCACTCAAGGCAGCCACCACCACCACCGTCGTCGTCGAGACTGTTGTAGAGGACGACAATGACATTGAAGATGAGAAGATGGTGAAGACTTCTTCTGCCGCTGATGCATACGGCCCTGGTGCAATTGTCCTTTACATTGCTCCCAGTACCACCGTCAACGACCAGGAGAATGTCGTCGCTGACCAACAACAACAACAAGTCAAGGCTGTCCGCCCACTCAAGGCAGCCACCGCCACTTCCACTGTCGTAGTCGAGACTGTCGTAGAGGACGACGACGATGACGAGGAGGACACCGTCTACGCTGACCTGCTTTGGCAAGGCCCCAACCCCTACATTGTCGTGAACCAACCAGTCGTCGATATCCGGGTTTTTGATTTCACCCTGGGTGGGATCTACAAGGCTCGACGGACTGACAGAACTGACGAAAAAAAGAAAGATCGCAGTCGTGTTGACGCTGACGACAAATGGAAGCAACACTATGGCGACATTACTAAAGGCTTGTTGACGACGGAGCGAAAGACCAACAAGAAGGGATACACAGCATTCTACAATCCACATGCACAAATTGCCTTTTATGAAGATGAAGGCGATCTCATGGACAAGAGGCGCCACTTTCTCGATGTGATCGAACCGGCTAGAGAGAAGAACAATAAAGATTGGAGAGACTTTGTACTAGCTGCATATGACTCTCTTCCCGAAGATCAGAAGTCCAACAACTGGTACAGCCAAGTCAAGCACGAGGCAACGAAACGCACCCAGCAGGAAGCAGACGACGACATGGCCCAGCTCATTGAGGCGTATGGAGAAGAGCAACTGGCCAACTGGAAGCGAGACGATGCCGCCAAACGCCGAGTCATTGTGAAGGTTGCCGCGCCACCACAAGTCGTCGAGGAGAACGTGCCTGAAGACATGGACGTGGACGACGAAGAGGAACAACAACACGAGCCAGTCGTAGTCGAGACTGTTGTAGAGGACGACGACGACGATGACATGGCAGATGAGAAGATGACGAAAACTTCTTCTGCCACTGATGCCTACGGCCCTGGTGCAATTGTCCTTTACATTGCTCCCATCGTCCAAAAACCACCACAACCTGTCGAGACTGAGGAAGAGAACGACCAACAACAACAAGTGGTGATTGAGGATTTCGAAGACGATGATGACTTCTCGCTTCCTTCTCTGACTGATGAACAGGAGGCGTTCCTTGCTCGAGAACTTGCAAAGTATCTCCAACAACAACAAAAGGAGCCAGTTGTCGTGGAGACTGTTGAAGAGGACGACGACGAAGTGGAAGTCGAGAAGATGGCATCACACGATGATGGCTATGGCCCTGGTGCGATTGTAGTGTACATGGGCAGCGACAATTTCAACGAAGAGCAAGGCAAGCCTGAAGTAGAGATGCCAACACACATTGATGAACAACCATCGGCAGAGGGCGACGCCGATCAACAACCACCAATGGCAGACGAGGCGCAACCTGCCCCACGCCGGTCGACACGACCCAGTGCGGCCAAGGCCAGTCGGAAGATTGCAGAACAGGCGGAATCCCGACGACGAGTGGCCAAAAAAACCAAGGCGACTGCAAACAAGCGATCGACTTCTACAACACCCAAGGCGACCGCAAACAAGCGGTCGACTTCTACAACACCCAAGGCGACGACAACCAAACCGTCGACCACTACAACTCCCACAACAGTGCGGCGGACACTTCGATCCGGGCGCCAGGTAAAGAAGCCAGACTGGTACACCCCAGTTTGACTTGCTTACCCCCCCTCTCTCTCTTTCTTGCAGGCCACCACTTGGTGACGACACTTGCTCACGACAATTGTCTCTTCCTTTCACAGCCTCACCCTTTATTTCTTTGCATGTAGGTTTCTTCTTATAGGCCTCCACTTGGAGAAGAGCTACTGACACTTTCTCTCTTTGCATGTAGGTTTCTTTCTTACAGGCCTCCACTTGGAGTGACAATTTGCTAACCACTTGTCTCTTCCTACCACAGCCTCACCCATTCTTCAATCTATTGCTTGCAGGCCTCCACTTGGAGTGACAATTTGCTAACCACTTGTCTCTTCCTACCACAGCCTCACCCATTCTTCAATCTATTGCTTGCAGGCCTCCACTTGGTGACGACAAAACACAACCAAGTCCTGGCCAGGCACAAGGTAAGTTCCCAATTGTTTTATTGTGTGTCGTGCATTGCTATTGCTCATACACCCCACCATCCTCCACTTGGAGTGACACCAAGCTACTAATGCCTTGTTCTCTTCTCATATAGGCTTCCACTTGGAAATGACACAACCAGCAGCAAGTCCTGGCCAGGCACAAGGTAAGTTCCCAATTGTTTTATTGTGTGTCGTGCATTGCTATTGCTCATACACCCCACCATCCTCCACTTGGAGTGACACCAAGCTACTAATGCCTTGTTCTCTTTTCATATAGGCTTCCACTTGGAAATGACACAACCAGCAGCAAGTCCTGGCCAGGCACAAGGTAAGGTCCCAATTGTTGTATTGTATGTCGTGCATTGCTATTGCTCATCCACCCCACCATCCTCCACTTGGAGTGACACCAAGCTACTAATGCCTTGTTCTCTTTTCATATAGGATGAGCGACACAGAGGCCGGCCCCCTCCTCTATGGGGGACAAAAGAAAGATAAGTCAATTCGTGCTGTGTCATTGCCTTTCAACCAACATGTGTTCTTTCATTCAACTAACATTCTCATGCATTTCATTCACAGGTATGTCACGACACGACACAAACACAACACATCTGTCACGACACGACACAAACACAACACATCGATTGCAGCACTGGCGGGGTGCATGCAACTTTTCACGTTTTGCGTTGAAGCACTGGTGGGTGCATTCAACCATTCACATTTCGCGTTGAAGCACTGGTGGGGGTGCATTCAACTATTCAACTTTTTGGGTTGAAGCACTGGTGGGTGCATTCAACTATTCACGTTTTGTGTTGAAGCACTGGTGGGTGCATTCAACCAACTATTCACGTTTCGCATTGAAGCACTGGTGGGTGCATTCAACTATCTATTCACGTTTCATGTTGAAGCACTGGTGGGGTGCATTCAACTGTTCAACTTTTCGTGTTGAAGCACTGGTGGGTGCATTCAACTTGTCACAATGGAGCACTGGTGGGTGCCTTCAACTTTCAACTCAGCGGAGGTGAGTGCAGTTGGTTCAAAGTCTAATCCACACTTTAAGGGTAGCCTGGTTCTGTGGTTCCAGTGCTAAGCGGTCTCTAATAGAGTGCTGTCTGAACGTCCCACGATGAAAATCGAAGTTAATACCTGGTGGAAATCTGACTACTAACCTGCCTTATCAATGATGCTACACACAACAATCAACCAAAATACCAAACAACAAACAACATAGTCATCTCATAGCAACAACAACTCATAGTAGTGGGATTCTTTTTTTATAAACGCATTGGCTATGCCAGCTTCTAGTACTATATATGTAATGTGCAGTTTTCTTCTAGTAGTGTTGTCTTTCATGGCAGCAGCCTTTGTAGTTATAGTCGTAGCCAACATTCGTCATACGTGGCTTTGGGTTGGTTGCTTGCGGCTTTGGCCTTGTTCAAATCCTCGTCGTTTCTACAAAGCACGTGAATGCCTCTCAATGGGCCCGGCAGCAACCTTGGTAGGTGTGCCATCTCGTTTCTTTCGATTGCAGAGAGGGAAAACTCGTTTCACGGCATCGGCCGAACAAAGCGCTGAATGGCCAGTCGTTGCTGCGATGCATCCTTAGCGCTAAAGATCTGCGAACGACCCACCCGTGAAGTTTGCCACATGGCGGAAACCCAAAGGGCTGAAACGAATCGAATCCAAAGTGCCACCCCTGGTTTTGGCTGCCTCGAAAGGGAGCCGAGTACGTGGGACGAGGAGAGAAAAAGTCGAGTGACAGTCGACTTTTCCTCATGGACTGGCCTCGGTCCATGTTTTATTAAGGCATGATATGTACATTACGAAGCAAATCTAGTTGCGCGTTGAGTTCGATGGTTCGTACATTGTGGAGTGAGGAGACAAACACGTACCGGTACCATCCCGGCGGTTAGCTTTGCTTCGTTCCGTTGATGCCACTATTGCGATGTCTTTGGCCTTTGTTCCCAGATCGAAGGTTCTGTGGAGATGGGCCGTTGATCCTGTCGAAGAAGTGAATGAATCAGCAAAGGCAAGTCGGAGGCAGACTGCAAGCCGCTGCGAGAAGCGCTGGGGAAGCCGCAGCGAGCAGGCAGTGTCGTACAGCACGGTATGGACAACGTTTGGTGGCGCCTGGGATGTTATGAGGCCTAAGATGAAGGTTGTTGAAGTACCGGTATGAGGAAACGAAGGAGTAGGAGCTCAACCGGTACGGTACCGCTACTGTAGTACGAAGGGGCGGTGCAATCAGGATGCGCTAGCATTTATAATTTGGATACGAATCCATTCCATGCGACGGAACGGATGCTGCAGCAAGTTTCAGCTTCAGCCAAGACCTCCTCTCATGTGGTCAGCCGAGACAAATAATGCGTAAGAGAGCGACGCACCAAAGTTAGTTGCAAGAGCCCCCTGCCTACCAGGTACCGTCTTGCTAGCTTTGCCCCCCCCCCCCCAATCTTTTGCGTGCAAACGGAGGAGTCTGGATGCGAGTCGCCTTCGTTTCCGAAACGAATTGGCAGCCAATTGCAATTCCAAGACTTTGCCTGGCATCTACCGTAGCGGCACAGCTGGCTGGCGTGAGGAAAGGAAGTAATAACTTACCATACCGTATTCTGCTGGCTTTCTCTAACGTTGTCTGGATGTGCAAAGCTGCTCCGCCGTGCCACTTGGAATGTGCGTCAAGTTGCTTTTGGCTTTCCAATGATTGTTGCTGCTGTGCGTAGCTACAGAGAGCTACTGCTGGAGGAAGTCCTACCAACCATCATGGAGAAGTGGCCGGTTAATGAATTTTTGGATCCCAAGATTCTGGTACAGCAAGATGGTGCTGGAGGCCACACTTCCGCAGATGATCCAGCAATCCTCCAATGGATCTACGAGAACAAATTAGATGACCAGATGGAGATCTACACTCAACCAGCCAACTCTCCGGATTTGAACATCAACGATCTAGGTCTCTTCAATGCCCTGCAACAAGCGTATCATGATTGAGTGCGTCAAGAAGACTCACAATGATTCACTCTGCAGTCAGTATTCAATGAGATCATTGACTGTGGCGGCCACAACACGTACAAGATCCCTGACATGAACAAGGCAAGACTACAAAGGCTGGAGATTCTTCCACGTCAACTCGAGGTTACTGTCAACGCCGACGGCTACTTGTACTAGTAATAATGGAGACTGTCTCAAAGGAGTATTTCTCACGCAAGCGCTGTACCAGTACCAGGTACCGATATTGTTGTTGCCATCTGCACCTCACTCACATGTACTGTAAGCCTCAGCTGATCACATCATGTTACTACTGACTCTGTTGATCTTCTTTTGTCAGTGGTATCAGGTGGCTCTGTATAGTTGCTGCTGCGACGTCGAATCGACTGCTCTCAGCCATGCATTCGCGCAATTTTTTATGCATACTTACCACTGCTGACTTTACACTCACCTAATTACTAGCTAGCTAGCTAGCTAGAACCTCTTCAACAAGTGAGCAATGCCTCCTGTAGCCCTTGTACATTTACTATACCGGTACGTGGTGACGTATTGGGTTCCATGAGATGCCGTAGGATCTGTTGCACCAGATTTTAGCAGGAGGAGCATGTAGCGGTAGCGGTAAGTCTTACCGGTACATACAGGTAGACTACTAGCACAGTACTACCGTAGTACTGGTACAGTCGTACAACTCTGGTGCCACTGTGCGTTCACAGCTCCACCATGGAGTGCCCTCAGTGAAGGTGTCAATAATTGACAAGCAAGAAAGAGCCTCTGGCACCTGGCGCTCTCTTACTATTAATTAGTATAGACTACTGAGTACAAAACCGCTTTTCATTTCTTGCTGAACGATTGTCACTGGTTGTCCCAGCAATGGCTGGGAGTTTCGAAGAGTGCATGTGAGACGAGAGTAACAATAATGCAGTCATGGCACGTTGTCGAGTGAACAATGCAATCCGAACGCGAACAAATAATCACGGTTTTGAGAGTGCGCATTGGCTTCGCATCATTCAGCAGCTCATCGCAGACTATGGAATGACATAGCTAGCTATAGCTATTAATAGAGCAGCACCGACTTGACCTCCACTCCATTTTCAAACCAAGCTACTAGAGGCATCATGATGACCATGACACCTCCGTCCCTCGATCCCGCTCCAGTCGGCGAAGCTACTGCAGCCGAGGACCGCAACAAAGTAGAAACCATGACGAGCAGCACTCCTGTCACCAAGCAAGAGGACGCCACCAATGAGGCTCCTGAAGAAGAAGAAGAAGAGCCCATGCTCCCACCGCCCCAGCCGTTGAGAGAATCGAATGCGACAAACGTGAGCATGTTGGAGGAAGAAGAGAATTACCCCGACCCGGGTTCGCTGCAAGAAGAACTGAATGAGATTTTGGATGCGTTCTATGAGTGTGTGGCGGAGGAAGACATTTGTGCCTATCAGCGGCTTGTGGAGGACATTCGAGGCGAACGCATTGCCGAGACTGCCTTGATGGAACCCGCTGTCTGCCCTTCCTTTGAGTTGCAAGATCAAGATGGTGACATGCTGCGGCTGGACGAATTGCTGCAGAAGGGTCCTGTCGTCGTCACGTTCTATCGAGGCAAATGGTATGTATGAGGCTATATAGTTCATCACAAAAATCACAGACCTGCGTTCACTCAAAAATACTTTGGCTGCCACTTTATTTGTTTGTTCAGGTGTCCTCACTGCAACGCTACTCTGATGAGGTATCAAAAACAGCTCGTGCCCGAATTGAAACAATTCCAAGCCACACTGGTGGCCATTTCTCCGATGCTGCCCGATGGAACGGCCTTTCTCGCCACCAAACGCGATTTGGACTACAGCGTTTGCAGTGATGTCAATAACACTCTCGCTAAGGAATTCCGATTGACCTTTGAAGTCAAACCACACACACAACCGTTCATGACCAAATGGGGAGAGCACATCCCGGATCACAATGGACTTGACAGTTGGGAGATTCCATTGCCGGCCACCTACGTCATTGGACAAGATGGACGCATTGCCTGGTCTTTTATGGACAATGATCCAGGGATTCGAGCTGAAGTAAAAGACATTGTCCACGAGGTGGCCGCCTTGACGCTCAAGAGCATGTACCGAGATGTCACGTTGGAATTTCCGACATCCAACAATTTCCACGAAGACGCACAATCCGCTTGTAGTTTTGGAAGCACGGGATCGTCTGCGTCCAACAACAATCCTTTTGGGAACAACAAGAAGAAGAAACGTAGCAAGACATTCAACCGAGCTATTGGAGCTACCTTCAAAGCGCCCAATCTCAAGAAACTGTGGAAGTCCATGACCAAGACTAGCAATCATCTAAAGACAGAAGCCTATGACGACGATTCATCACATTTCTCGGTGCAAAGCGAACTCAAGGCCAAGGCACCTTCTCGAACACCACGCAAATCTTTTCGGGGGAAGCTCGCGGCACCTGAGTTTCTCTGCCGATACATGATGCCATCCTCCTAATACGAAAAAGAGGTTCCAAAGGGAGCGGGCTGGCAGTATATGATGTCTCTTTGCCCAGAGATGCATGGCCCTATGTTGGTTCATCCGTTCAGTGATTCGTACAACAGCTTATAATCTACCGGTACTAGTAGACCAGAAATCAGGCCAAACAACAACCTGTTTGTAGTAGTTGCATTCCACCTGTTGCTCGTGCCACGAAATCGAGTTGAAAGAGAGTGAAAAGGATAAGCCGAGGTCACGATTGATTCGAGTTGAGACTGAGGGTTGTGGATGCTGGATTGCACCGCTGCTTGGGTGCTTGGGCCGTCAACTGATCGAGTTCTTTGTTCTGGTTCCTGGTTCCTGCTACGAAGCTATCCAGATATGGCTCCAAAACACACAAGACTGTTAGCTGTGGGAGAACATCACTACTGTCGTTGCATCCAAAAATCCCATGAATGCACGGATTCTACCGGTATCACCTCGAAAGGAGCAATCCGCACCAAGCCAACAGCACGGCTATAGCAGACTCCAGCAAAGGACATTGTTACAACTAACTGTCCATCAATCTGAAGTGCCAATGGCCACCGTTCCACCTACAGCATTGGAGAATCCTACAAGAAAGATGACAGCGAAACCAATCATAATACTGTTGTACTGTAGAATGTCCTGGAATAATTAGTCTTTGTCTATTGATGGTTGATGCTAAAGAAATGGGTCGGCTTTTGGCTGCTCTGCTAGAACAATTAGGTTTGTTTCCTCCTTGCTATATCTGCTGCTGCTCACGTGTCAGGTATGGATGCATTCGCAACAATGTGGATGCATCAGATGGCAGTGTGTTGATAGTGTATTGATGTGCTGAGATAAAATATGGGATCCATGGTCTTGGTGGGCAACTCTAGTACAAGGGAAAGGACAACTTCCCGGTAGCAGGATCAATATTTACACGGGGATACGGCGTACGCGAAAGATTGACGCGTTTGTGGATTTCTTTCCGATTGTGCCATTGGATTTCCTTTCCCAACTCTCCTTCCTCCTGCCGTTTCTTTTCTCGAGCCTTCAAAAGGTCAAAGGCAGCGTCAGCCCACAAACCACCACCACCAAGAACCCCCTTGTAAAGAAGGTGATCAACAGCTGGGTAATGGCAGAAGGCCGTCAAGGTCGCCTCCCAATTTTGAAAGGTGGGATTGTCTCCGAGCATGGCTTTCGCCCGATTGATGGCCAGTTTGTTGATTATGCGATCACGAAGATGATCAGCAAAGAATCCTACTTCTTGCATTCCCATCTCCTTAGTCTCTATTATTCCAAAAGTCTTCATGTTGTCGTGTGCCTCAACAGCAGCTGTGATGAGCGGGTAGTCAGCTTCATCGAACCTGAGGTTCTTGAATTCCATTTCTTCGATGTTTGGTAGCTCCAAGATCAACTTTAGCAGATCCCAGGAGCACTGTCGTTGAATCGAGGGGACATGTGGAAGATATTCGTGTCCATGTAAAACGAAGCTTTTGAGCGTTGGATGATCTCGAATCGCCCGCTTGATAGGTTCCAAATACTTGTAGGTCTTTGGATTGGTTTTGTCATGAATGCGAAATTTTTGATCAATGCTGAGATGTTGAATGTTTTTGCACTGGAGAATGAACACTGCAAGCGGCTCAGCATGAACTGGGTCCGAGAGCCAGCAATGAATTCTGTTGAGCTTCGGCCTCGTAGCGATGGCATTCCGAACAGATTGACGGAGGCCTGGCAACACATGCAAATCAACCGAAATCGAAACCAAGGAGCAGTCGAAGTTGACTTCGTCAAGCTGAGGCAAGGTACAAATCAAGCTTGGAAGGTGAACTAGAAAGTTCTCATTTTCTTTTGGGTTCAAATGATTCTGGTTCACGTTTACCCACAGTCTGCGCAGCTCCTCCTTGCCGTCAATCACAGCAAAAGACTTTCCCCCTTTGTAGAGAGATTCCCGTCGATGAGAGTGGTAATCAAACCCGAATGGATGCATCTCGTTTTGATTCATTGTGATGAATGGTACAGTCTGAGAGAAAGGATGAAAGCAGGACGATCTACGCAGGATGAAGAATGTCTGGTGCTGTGGTGGTTGACAACAATGACAAACGGAAAAATATGATCTCGTCTCGAGATCTCGAGAGACGAGACAACGATCGTCGACGATCGTCGTTGTCTCCGTAAGAAGCCAGAGAAGCTGTAATTTGAAGGTCTGTTGCTACCGTACGAATGTACCAGCGCCCTACGTACGGTACACGGGTACCGATACCACCATGCCATGCAATGTACGACAAACAATGGCGGAGCACTCCGGGCCCACGCCATTCCTTCTCTCTTGTTGTTTGTTGTTGTATTGATAGACAGCCCAGTGTGAGGTGACTCTCTCTGGTTAGTACATGTAGTTGCGGAACATCATGTCGTTCTTGGAGGAAGCGAAGCGATCTCGAGTGATGATGAAGAGGAGCGTGGAGTCCATGGCCATCCGACGCAGGAAATCATTGACTTGCCAGCGATGTCGAAGAGGAATTGTCAGCATCAGATGGTGAAGACAATGTCATGCCATGACAACGCAATAGGAGTCACTGGCTGGAGTAACAACACGATCAGCAAGAAGCGTCAAGGGATGCTGACTCTCAAAAACAACAACACACAGAAGAAGGACAACAACACACAGAAGAAGAGGAAGAGTGCCATCAGTCGCAAACGCAGTAACAACAGCAGAAGAGGAAGAAGCTGACAAAAAGAGTACCACCATCAGAAGCAACAGGAGCAGACGAATGAGAGGAAGAAGAGGCGCCTTTGTTTCGTCTTCCGTCTGGCTTTGCGCCTCCACGAATTTGGCAGAATCGAAATCGCTCTTGTTTTGTTGCGTCCCAGAGCATGCGGATTCCGTGGGCGTATCATCGCTTTGTCTACGGTACTTGAATTTACACCGTCCAAGGCAACTCCTCCAGGTGATTCTGCACTGCTCATCGAATTCCAATTCTTTCCTTGCTCCATTTATCGACCAACACATGCATTGCTGCTACAAGCCAACAACAACAGCCAACAATGCAATCCATCACCACTTGTTCGCACCATTCTGCATTTGTGGCTGCGGCATCATCTTCATCCTCCTCCGACGAGTACAATGCCATGCTCCGAATGGAAACAAGCCGGCACACATATTCGTCGGACGCTCGGCCTTGCATGTGGCTTGTTGGGGAACCATCGATCGACACATCCTCCGGCTGCTCGTCAAAGACAATCACACGTTCTCCTCCAAAAAGACGCTGGTGGACGAACCCCTCTACAAGTACTGAAAATGTACCAGTACCATTTCCAACAACTACAACAACCGACGACATGCAATCTACGATGCCAAGCGTTTCTAGAATCTGCCACGGAGCATTGGTTGGCAAAACAACAACAGCAACAACAAAAGAAAAGGAGAACGGCAAGATGAATCATGACAAAGACGGGTCGACGTGACGCGAGAATTGGAACGGCACGCAGGGAGCATTGGATCGGTCGACGATATCAAGGGACGGTCGAGTTCATACAGTAATAGCAATGCCAATGCACAGCCCTGCGAAACGCAAATCATCAACTGCGGGATGGCGCTGGAGAAGAAGGTGCAACAACAACGGAACCAAAGAGACGACCATCGCGGAACAACAAGAGTTGTGCGCCTCCATGCAACTGGCCAAACCATCTACGACACCAACAAGAAGCAACTCCAGCACGAGCAACAAAATGTGCCGATGCCGACATTCATCATCAAAACCAAACATTGACCTGAGGCAAGAATCAATCTGCAATTGCGAGTGTACAGCACCGTCAAAAGCTCATTTCTTTAGAATCAACCATCAATATAGACAAAGAAATAAAAATGATCCCTATTCTATATTTCTATAATTGAGTTATGATGATCTATTCATTCTATCGTACGTCGGTTAACCAAGAAGGGTGAACAATTCAATTCAATCCACTCTCAGATCCTCTGTGAATTGTGTTTGCTGTTCCAGCCGTGGCGGATTCCAAGAGGTAGGTAGAAGAACTGCTTTCCGGTGGCATGCTTGCTTGCGTAAGCAACTGTAGATTTCCTGATGAAGAGCAAAGTATCGCCGCACGTCACGTCACATCCACAAGCAACGAACGAACGACATGTGGAGCCTCTCGTCCTCAGTAGTAATTCCTTGGTCGAAAATATCACAATGATTACTGTACTTCTTGCTTGTTGTGTTTCGGAAACAAATTCGAGTCGAGTCGAGTCGATCCATCCTTGATTCCCCATTCTGTTCTTTCTACGGTAGATGTGCACGAGCCCCGCCAAGTGGGAAGCTTGAAGCTTCATTGCGTTTATGGCCCGGATCAGTAACAGACACGAAGCAACAACAGTATCTTCGCTTGGAGGATTCGATTGATTCTCAAATGAGTCGAGTCATCAAACGACGACGACACAACAAAGAGCGGTTCCTTGGGAGGCAACAGAAACAACCCGCGTCGGAAACCAAGGTGCGTCTTGATTCGATTCTAATCTAATCTTCCCCAAGTTCTTCTTCGCACCAATCGACGCTGTGACATCCAAAAAGGGACGCAATTGGAGGATAAGGCTGCTCTACGGTATGTATCATAGAGGCGTCAATCATTGTAGCAGGCAGCAGCGTGATGGTTGGTTTCGCTGTCATCGTTCTTGTAGGACTCTAGCTTTGGGAACCATGAGGAATGGTAAATGGTGGCTATTGGTGCGTCATGTTGATGGACAGTGTAACAATGTCTTTTCAAGGTGATATACTGCTGCTTCCACTACGGCGACAACAGGAAGTAGAAGGTGGCGGAGCGTCGAAGAGGCGGTTACTGCTGCTGCCCCTGGAGCCATGTTGAGTTCCTTTCGGATCCATCTTTGGCAAGGTCACGCAGGCCTTGGAGAGTTTTGGAGCCAGCTCTTGAGCGAGGCATGCATCCCAGCTATGTAGCGTACGGCAGTTATGACACAGGAAGTCAGCCCTAGGAAAACGATGGTCGCTCTCCATGGACATGCAATCTGGCAATCTTGTTGCTTGTCTTGCTTGCTTGCCGCCCGCCGGCCGCCCCGCATGTTGCTTGTTGAAACCAATTCGCTCGTATCGAGATCGATGGACGGATCCTTACCCTACCGGTACCAAATGACCCTTCAACCAGGAACTGTTGCAAGCAAAGTCGTTCATCTGGCTTGGACAGGATATTGGCAGGGGCAACTATAGTCTAGATGTAAGTTTTGGTGGCGATCTCTCCCGAGCGAGGTACCGGTAGACTCTTCTGCAAGCCATACTGTAGCATACATCTCCATCATGCACAAGACTGCCTGTGGGCTCGAGAAGAACCAAGTTCTCGCGGCATTCGTCGGACCAAGACCAGCGATGCTTCTGGTCAACCTCGTAGGGCCGTGCCCCGTCGAACCAAGTCGGGCGACGAAATGGCACCTCCACCTCCCAAGAAGCCCCGGAGGGCGTCTCCACAGCTGTACTCGTACAAGATCCCTCACATGAACAAGGAGCGACTACAAAGGCTGGGTCTTCCACGGCAACTGGATGTTACTGCCAACGCCGACGGCACTTAATGTAATGGAGACTGTCTCTAGCTAGGAGTATTTCTCACGTAAGCACTGCGTTGTTTGTTTTTGGCGGTTGGGTGTTGAATGAATGAATGAATGAGTTACTGACAACATCATCATTGTGATGTTGTCAGAGCCAATCAAGAGATCGGATACTAATGCCTAGGTTGCTGCTGCTTCCCATGCCTCCAATTCTGTCCTCTTGGCTTCTTGTCTCTCTCAAGACGATTGTGAGTGTTGTTGTTGTTGTTGCTGCTGCCGCTGAGCGGTTGTCGGCTGACGATGAGTGGATGACGTGGATGAAGTGGTAGCAGTCGGCTGACGATGGCGCTGTGGAGTGGTTGACGACGACGACGGCCGTTCGTCGACAACAACAAGTCGATCAAACGTTGACAACAATAAGAGATGAGTGGTTGTGGACTGTCGACAACAACAGATGCGTCAGTGAGCGCAGAAAGAGTACCAGCTGCTGCTGTCGATGATGTAGCTGAATGGAGGCATCCAGAAAAAAAAGCAAGATGAATGGGCAAGATCCCACTGGCGTGCTGACTGTCTAAGCGAATAAAGTAGCTGCCTGGAAAAAGGAAAGTCAACTTGAGAGGAATGCCAGAAATAAAAGGCAAGATAGATCTATTTGCTTCTAAGCAGTACTGCATTTCATATAGTAAAAGGATGTTTAGAAGCCAAATTGTCTAAGTATTTCAATTGTGTTAAGTAAATTATTGCTTCTTGCCAACATGCCCAGGAAGCCTTCCGGGGTAAGTTGGAAGGTTGATTTGGCTGACGTGTCCATTCGTGCAAGAAAGCCTCGATATTTTTGCCCTAAGTAGCCTGCCAGTGGGATCTTTCCCATCCATCTTGCTTTTTTTTCTGGATGCTCCCAATAAAGAACATCTGTAGAATTCTGCCGAAGCTCCCTACGACTGTACTCCTAACTAAACGGAGGCAAAGGTGGATTTTTTTGTTTCTGGGAAGGGAGTTTGAGCCGATAAGTACGTTGAACTTTTTACTAATAAAACTGTTCTCCTCAGCTGCCCCTCGAGCATTAAAGCAGCTTCGCCCAGTAATTCCTTTTCACGAACGGACAACGATACGTAGGTGAGTACGAGAGCCACCGTACCGGTAGAACCTACAGCGGAGCAGCTCAAGCACTCAAGAGCTATCGGTACGGTGGACCCCTGCGTGAAACGTACTTAAGTACAGGACCCTTTCAGCAAATCATTTAATTTGGTTTCCAAAGAGGGTGACGTATCCTACCTTCTAATTCCTTCAGTTTCCCTGGCAGGTGCAGTACTAAGTCCTTAGTTTTCTTGATTGGTTTCAATCAGTAGCGGTACCACGACTCATTTCGAAATAATTGAATGATCGAGTCAATGCGACCACCGCAACAGGAAAGTAGCATCGACAATGGACATGACCACCATGACGACGGCGCTGCAACCTCCCAGATCAACAACCATGCTTCCTACCGCTGTTATATACTCTATTCCATGGCCAGCGGCCTGCTAATCGGCTGCTAGAAGCCTCTAATCACATCCTGTCAATGGTCAGTCTGGTTCCGTCAGATCGCATCAAATTTTCACGACCAGATGGCACCATCCATCATCGACCATGATACCCTCTAGGTTGCCCGCAAGGCCATTTACCGGAGCCGCAACACCCAGGCTACCTTCCTACAACCCCAGGGCGTCCTTGGATGCCTTGGGGAGCCTTCAATCGGCCTGGAAAGCAGTTTTATCCGTTCCCATCAAGCGTCCTGATGAGGGGAGACCGAATCCAATCCCGATTTTTGCATGGCGTTTCACGTCATCTGATGGGCATGGAAGGGACGAAAAATGGGACACCACCATGTTGAGCTCACTTTTTCTTTCACCTGAAGTTGTTACGACGATTTCAAACGAAAGAATTCTTGAACGTACTATTGCCTACTACTTTTACTACTTTCAAATCTATCAATCAATCAATCATTGCATCATGAAGTTTTCTTCTTCTGCCTTCGCTTGGTTCTTTGCCGTCGCTACTGGACAACAGGTTGTTGTGTTGTCGAACAACAAGTCCAGCAGCAAGATGGTGTGGCGTGATGATGACGCCGATGTTGATGTTCCTGTGCTCCTGGATGAAGAGGAGACAGGACTTGTTGAAGTCCCGTTCGAGTTGGTAGAACTCGAACAGGCGGTTCTTGTGGATGTTGTCGCGTGGCGCGGAACACCACTGGAACTTGCTCCTTCTGGAAGCTTTGAGCTTCCGCCTCACCATAAATTGACCATGACCGAGGAGAAGAAGGACGGACAGTCGCCAGCGAAAGCGACGACAGTGTCCTTAGATACTATAGATATGATGACAACGCCCATAGAAAACGTGGCCAACAACCCCATCAACAACCCCATCAATGACGCCGATCAAAAGGTGCTCATGATGTTCCAGCCTCACCACAAGAATGTCGATGGTGACACAGTGTGCGTTGGCGGTGCCGAATTTCCGCTTTACAACACCATCAGCACTCCAGCTCAAGTTGCCGCACGACGATTCGTGAAGGCTGTCCGCCCACTCAAGGCAGCCACCACCACCACCGTCGTCGTCGTAGTCGAGACTGTTGTAGAGGACGACAATGACATTGCAGATGAGAAGATGGTGAAGACTTCTTCTGCCGCTGATGCATACGGCCCTGGTGCAATTGTCCTTTACATTGCTCCCAGTGTCCAACAACACACCACCGTCGTAGTCGAGACTGTTGCAGAGGACGACGATGACATTGAAGATGACTTCTCGCTTCCTTCTATGACTGATGAACAGGATGCGTTCTTTGCTCAAGAACTTGCAAAGTATGTCGAACAACAACAACCACAACCCGTCGAGACTGAGGAAGAGAACGACCAACAACAACAACAACCACAACCCGTCGAGACTGAGAAAGAGAACGACCAACAACAACCACAACCCGTCGAGACTGAGGAAGAGAACGACCAGCAACCTTGCGTGGTGATTGAGAACTTGCCGGAAGACATGCCGCACTCAATCAAATGCTGGACAGGTGACAACGCATGCTACAATAGCTGCTGGGTTGAAGTTTCTGAGATGACAAGTGTGTTGTCGGAGGACGAGTCACTGGAAGAGTTGTTTGTCGATGTCGTGGTGAAGGACAACAATCAACAAGCCGACAATGTTGAGGAGGACAATGTTGTGGAGGACAATGTTGTGGAGGATTGCGATGAGTTTTCCCTGACTGCCGAAGAAATTGCGTTCATTGAACGATACGAAGCCAAGCAAGTCGAGACTGTTGAAGAGGACGACAACATTTTGGGGAATGATGACGATGACGAAAGCATCGACGATTTTCCTCTGACCGATGAAGAGGAAGTCTTCATTGCTCAGGAACTGGCCAAGCAGAAAGATCAGACTGATGAAGAGAAAGAGTTCATTGCTCAGGTACTGGCCAAGCAGCAAGTCGTTGTAGAGGACGACAACATTTTGGGAGATGATGAAGATGACGACGAAAGCATCGATGATTTTCCTCTGACCGATGAAGAGAAAGACTTCATTGCTCAGGAACTGGCCAAGCAGAAAGAGCCAATCGTTGTCGAGACTGTTGTAGAGGACGACGACGAATTCGAATTGGACGCGAAGGTGGCATCAACCGATGATGGCTACGGTCCTGGGGCAATGGTGTTGTACTTGCCCCAAGTGAATGCATTTGTGGACGACAATGCGGAACTAGAGGCGGCTTCAATCGAGGAGCCCGTCCAACAACAAACACAACCACGACGCAGTCCACGGCTGGTAGGAAAGGCTGCAGCTTCCAAGGACAACAAACCCGAGGCGAAAACGGGCAACAACAAAAAGTCAAAGGCAACAACAACAAAGGGCAAGGCGCAAAAGCCCAAGACAGCTCGCAAGAAGCAGTCGACAACCACCACAACAACACCAGCTTCGACTGAACGGCGGACAACTCGATCCGGACGCCTGGTCAAGCAACCTAACTGGTTCATTCCAGCATAAGGCAACAACAAACAATCTACAACGCCAGCGTCGGACAATCATTCATTTCTTGGAAATGACAACAAGCAACAACAGCATTGGACACTCGATCCAATGGCTAGTCAACAGCCGACACTCCTTGCAGTAGTCGAGCAACAACAGGTAAGTTCCAACATTGCTCATGCATGCTCGTCCGCCTCATTCGTCTTGATCTTTTCTTTCACAGGCTTCCACTTGGAAATGACAACAAACACACAAAGTCCTAGGGCCCAGGCACCAAGGTAAGTTCCAACATTGCTCATGCATGCTCATCCGCCTCATTCGTCTTGATCTTCTCATTTTCTCTTCATTCACAGGCTCCACTTGAAGACACAACAAGGTACGTTCCAACAACAAGGTAAGTTCACTCGAAAGCGTTTGTCGTGTCGTGGTTGCATTGCACTTTCTCGTAATTCACAGGCACCACTTGGAGATACAACAAGGTACGTTCCAGGCCGGCCCCCTCCTCTATGGGGGACAAAAGACAAAACATGTAAGTTAATTTGTTTGCTGTGCATTGCTATTGCTATTGCTATCGTCCGCCTAACACAACAACAAACCAATACATACATGTACATAACACACTCAATAACCACACACAAACCAATACAAATCCTTTCGAAGGTATCATTAGAATAGCAACAACAATTCATAGTAGCAGAATTTTTTTTTTTTTTTTAACAGGGGCTCTACCCACTTCTTGTATCCGTAGCTGCAGTAATGCAGTGTAGATATTTCATTTCATTCATTCATTCATTCAAAGTCGTACAGCTACATGCGGTGTT